CGGACACACAAACAAATAACAAACAGACAGACAGACTTCTTCGTTTTATATATATATATATATATATATATATATATATATATATATATATATATATATATATATATATATATATATATATATACATAGATAGATAGATAGATAGATAGATAGATAGATAGATAGATAGATAGATAGATAGATAGATAGATAGATAGATAGATAGATAGATTTGTAAAATCCACAAGTTACCTTACCTTACCTTACCTTACCTATATTGTATCACCAGTTGTAACAATTTTAGATAAACTATTCAACAATTCTCCCTTGAGTGAGTGTAATGATAGCGCCTAAGATGTGTCCATAATTTATCTACTATACTTATTAAGCATCAGTAGAGACTATCATTATATATCCACTTACCAAAGTTTTCTTACAAATGTAATGTTGTTTGTTTTAACCTTTTTGAGCCATAATTATTTTCCCGCCACAGACGGACAACCCGAGATAGTTGTTGATGTAGCGGCTGAACTTTGAGGGATGAAATAATTTATCCTTTCAAACATAAATATTTTAAAACAACAACAAGAAGTAAAGCATTAAAACACAATTAATCAAAAAATAACTTTATTGTAAAAAAGAAATCATTGGGCACAACCCCTGCTGTGGAGAGACAACCCGGTCCTGAAGTAAGGAACGTCGTATGACTCGCGATCTTTAACTGGCTTAGGGTGTTGGTCGGAGAAATGGAACCGAAGGGGAAGTTTGTGGGCCCCATCTTGCTTATGGGCCCCATCTTGTTGCTGGGCTCCATCTTGCTTAGGCTTTTTTAAACAACCCTTGAGAGGGGTTGGGTGGGGGGAGCACACCACCTTGATGGAGGCCGCGTCTCGGTCTAGATCCTTGGCGCAGTCTGGTGGATAAACATAATCTACATAGATTTTTGGGGGGAGGCAGTTATATGTTGGACGGTTTACATCAAACCACCTGCAGAGTCTCCTTCCGTCGAGACTTACACCCAGGTCTTGGTAATAATTATTTGTATAGGAAGCGACGGCCACACCAAGGTTCTCACCCTGTGGGTCAGTTGGCATAAACAGGTCCAACAGACCCCCTAATCGGGCCATCATCTCCATCAGTTCACCGCGGCTGCATTCCCGAGGTATATTTTGGATGTGCACAGCGTATTCATGGTAGCTGTTGTATTGAACGGTTTCCCAGTCTAATGAATTAAACTGTGGGCGGGATGGCTCAGCCCGTGAATTATTAAACTGGGGGCGAGATGGCTCAGCCCGTGAATTATTATACTGGGGGCGAGATGGCTCAGCCCGTGAATTATTATACTGGGGGCGAGATGGCTCAGCCCGTGAATTATTATACTGGGGGCGAGATGGCTCAGCCCGTGAATTATTATAGATGGCTCAGCCCGTGAATTATTATACTGGGGGCGAGATGGCTCAGCCCGTGAATTATTATACTGGGGGCGAGATGGCTCAGCCCGTGAATTATTATACTGGGGGCGAGATGGCTCAGCCCGTGAATTATTATACCGGGGACGGGATGGCTCAGCCCGTGAATTATTATACTGGGGGCGAGATGGCTCAGCCCGTGAATTATTATACTGGGGGCGAGATGGCTCAGCCCGTGAATTATTATACTGGGGGCGAGATGGCTTAACTGTAAAGTTCGAGGTCCTCGCTTGGTCTTTCAGCTGGGAGAATGTTTCTTGAGTTAGGATGGTGACTTTTCCCATTTTGTTTATTTTATATAAATGAAGTTAGTGTTTGGGTGGCAGGTGGGGACCCTTCCCTGGTTGAGAAAATAATGTAGTAAGAGGTTAACAACACCATATACTGTAAGTAGTGTAATTGTAATGGTGATATAGTGTAGTTGTGTAGTGTATGTAGTGATGATGATGTAGTTTGGATAGAGTAGTTGATGTAGTGTAGTTGTGTAGTTGATGTAGTGTAGATAATGTAGTTGATGTAGTGTAGTTGTGTAGTTGATGCAGTGTGGATAATGTAGTTGATGTAGTGTAGTTGTGTAGTTGATGTAGTGTTGATAGTGTAGTTGATGTAGTGTGGATAATGTAGTTGATGTAGTGTTGATAGTGTAGTTGATGTAGTGTTGATAGTGTAGTTGATGTAGTGTTAATAGTGTAGTTGATGTAGTGTGGATAATGTAGTTGATGTAGTGTGGATAATGTAGTTGATGTAGTGTTGATAGTGTAGTTGATGTAGTGTTGATAGTGTAGTTGATGTAGTGTTGATAGTGTAGTTGTGTAGTTGATGTAGTGTGGATAGTGTAGTTGATGTAGTGTTGATAGTGTAGTTGATGTAGTGTGGATAATGTAGTTGATGTAGTGTGGATAATGTAGTTGATGTAGTGTTGATAGTGTAGTTGATGTAGTGTTGATAGTGTAGTTGATGTAGTGTTGATAGTGTAGTTGTGTAGTTGATGTATTGTGGATAGTGTAGTTGATGTAGTGTAGATAGTGTAGTTGTGTAGTTGATGTAGTGTGGATAATGTAGTTGATGTAGTGTAGATAGTGTAGTTGTGTAGTTGATGTAGTGTGGATAGTGTAGTTGATGTACTGTAGATAGTGTAGTTGTGTAGTTGATGTAGTGTGGATAATGTAGTTGATGTAGTGTGGATAATGTAGTTGATGTAGTGTGGATAATGTAGTTGATGTGGTGTGGATAATGTAGTTGATATAGTGTAGATAGAGTAGTTGTGTAGTTGATGTAGTGTGGATAGTGTAGTTGATGTAGTGTAGATAGTGTAGTTGTGTAGTTGATGTAGTGTGGATAATGTAGTTGATGTAGTGTGGATAATGTAGTTGATGTAGTGTAGATAGTGTAGTTGATGTAGTGTGGATAATGTAATTGTGTATTGATGTAGTGTGGATAATGTAGTTGATGTAGTGTTGATAGAGTAGTTGTGTAGTTGATGTAGTGTGGATAGTGTAGTTGATGTAGTGTTGATAGTGTAGTTGTGTATTGATGTAGTGTGGATAATGTAGTTGATGTTGTGTGGATAGTGTAGTTGATGTAGTGTAGATAGTGTAGTTGTGTATTGATGTAGTGTGGATAGTGTAGTTATGTAGTGTGGATAGTGTAGTTGTGATATTGATGTAGTGTGGATAGTGTAGTTCAGCCATCATCACTCCAGATCCGTAAAGTAGTTTCCGAGATTCTCGTGCGGACACACACAACAAAGAAACACACATACACACAGACATACTTCTTTGTTTGATATACTGTAGATAGATAGATCATCACTACATATAACAACATCCATCATCACTACATATAACATCATCCATCATCACTATATATAACTGTTACGAACCACGCCACCAATTGTCATGATCTACCTACCCAGCACCACGAACCACGCCATCTATTGTCCTGAACTACCAACCCAGCACCACGAGCAACGCCATCTAGGGACGAAACCCGAGTATGACTACTCTTAGTTACCACTCCGGGGTTTCCCTTCTCCATATCCTGGTTGTTGCGTCACCTCCTCCAAGTCTTCCTCATCAGCTCAAGTTCGAGGAGAGTTCAGTTCACTCTAGGAAGTTTCCACACTAGGATCACCTATCCTGGAAACCTACGGCACAGTGACTACCTACCATCGTCTTCAATACTCAGCCTTACTCGTCAGCCATCTCAGCACTGCACTTAAGTATTTGTTATCCTATATTGCCTCCCCGTATCCGCTTGCTTCAAATTATTGTATGTTGTATAAATATGTATATACTGTTAAGCCAATGTTGCGTATGTTTAGGTTAAGTATGGTTAAGGGTAAATTATAGAAAGCTGAATATTTTGTTAAGGAATTTATGGTACTTTATTATACACAACAAAAACTCGCATCCTTTGTCTACCCTTTTATAGTCCGATTGTCTTTTGTTTTTTTATTGTTGTTGCCTGTTGGGATCTGGGTAGACTTTTAACTATATTCTAAACCAGTTTCTAAATCCCCAACTCGTAACATTTATTATACACAACAAAAACTCGCATCCTTTGTCTACCCTTTTATAGTCTGATTGTCTTTGTTTGTTTAGTTTTTTATTGTTGTTGCCTGTTGGGATCTGGGTAGACTTTTAACTATATTCTAAACCAGTTTCTAAATCCCCAACTCGTAACACAAAGCTCAAAGACTATACCCTTCACTTTTCCCTAAAACAACCGTACAACTAACCTACCTTTCGTTTTTCCTACCTTTATGCATAGTTTTCTTTTGGTTGTGTGCGCCCCCCCCCCTGTTCGTTTTTTGGGTTCGCGCTGCACCCGCGGCGATGGCGGTCTTCAAACAGTGATACAGTCCGTTGCCCGACTTGACTGACGCCTGGAGCCGCTTATCGCCTGATCCCCGCCCCCTGCCGCAGAGTCCGAGCGTAGTGTAGCTCCCTCCACCAATCACAGCACTGCCTTATCGCCCACACGCAAGCTGTGTTAAGCCACGGCACCTTTTTTTCTCTCACTAAAATTCCCTTCCATCATCCCCTTTAAACTTCCACTGAACCTCCTTCCCCCTTGTCACTAGCCTTTATCGATTGATTGATGACTGATACTGCTGAGGGTGGTTTCCAGACAGACTTGGCATTTGACTCATTAGGGACTTGCCATAAACGGACGTATTGTATCGGGAACTCTCCCTCCACACACTTATCCTGTCACTATATTTAACTTGCCGATATCCATTCAGGCACTTACGCCCTTATGTGCTTGTGTCAAGGAAACAAGCATGAACTCTGCGTGCGTCTCTGTTGGGAGCTGCAAACGCTTTTGCGCTACAGAATGGGCATCCACACGCTGCCGATTTACTTTGTATCTAATGTACTTGCTGGATGTAATTGCTTATCTTTGTATATTTGTCTTTCATATTAGGTTATGCGTTTCTGCTACTACTTGTGCTTTTGCCTTGTGTGGTAATTGTATGGATTTTAGCAAATGGTATTTCATTGTTTTAGTTTTAAATTTTATATTTTGTTCAGACAATTATACTAAATATTTTAATGCTGCAATAGACTTATATTTGTTTTATACATATTTGAATGCCGGTACCACTGCATCTTACTTCGTGTATCTGAAGTCTGATGATGATAAGCGACATTGTCTTAACGTCAACAAATAAATACAGTATGTTGCTGTTTATCCATCCATTGGTCCTATTGAAATTAACTCCCAAGCCAAGCGCATACCTTTGAAGACGTACACTCGAACAAAAAAATAAGTAGTGTACAGCATAATCTTCTGCACCACATATACCCACAAAAACCTGGATCATCATCTCGAAATCCTGTACTACTATCAAGGAAACCTGAACGTTGCTTGTTAATCGTCACATATACATTGAAGTCTACTAAATACAATTAGTAAAGAATAATTTAAGAATACACTATTGATAAAGTTTTGCTAAAAGTTATTGATAGAATGTATATACTAGTAATAAAACTATTCTTGTTTCTTATTTGCTGCCTTATTGTAGATTTCGTCCATCTGGGCTGGTGAAAGGTGGAAGGTCTCTGGCATATTTCTGTGAAGAAGTAAGTAGCTCACACTTGTCAGCACAGCGTAGCCCAGAAATGTGTTGTGAGCTCCCAGGGACGACATACACCACCCAAATGTCTTGGTGATCAGGAATGACGAAGCCCAGTGAACAGCTACGGCCATGGCCACACCATTACTTCGCACTCGGCTGGGCATACCCTCTCCAAGGAACACCCAGGGTATAATGCGCCAGCCTAGAGAAGAGGCAAACATGTAGGCCACCAGTGCCAGTGTTGGCACTAGGTACAGAGTCTTGGCCATGATGGAGATGTAACCTCCTGCTTCCTTTGCCCAGAAGAAGAGTGACAGTGTAAGGAGGGAAGCTACAATCATTACTGTTGACACAAAGAGAAGGTAACGCCGTTTAATCCTGGCTAATAGAAACAAAGTGACGAAGGTGCCCAAGACATTGACCACACCCAAGAGAAATGTCGAGGAGCTGTTCGACGTGCCTTCCTTGCCAGTATCCAAGATGGTAGAGGTGAAGGAGACTATAGCAGTGAAACCTGTGGCTTGTTGGGCCAGCATGAGGCTGGCCGCCACACTCACCGGCCACAGGTTGGGTGGCTGCACAAGCTCCCACACGCTGACATGTGAATTATTTTCTCTACTGCTAAAGCTGTTGCTGATCTGCTGCTGTTCTTGCTCGGCGTCCTGAGGTGTGCATCGCAGCTGACGCAGTGCAGCCAGCGATGCCTCTTTCTTACCTGCATAACAAGGAAACTTCTCAGTCCATTGTCATAGATAAAGATATTCAACCATTACATAAAAAAAACTAAAAAACTAAAAAAATTCTGAAACATACGGATCCCGCCGTCTGGGTCATGGCGATCCTAACCAGAGAATATTTTTCCCCTAAAACCACAAGAGGTGACATATGACTGAAGGCTCTGATCAGCGAAGGTCGTGGTGTCTGTCAGTGTTAGGTGGTGGTGTCTGGAGTCTGGTAGTGTTAGGCGGTGGTATCTGGAGTCTGGTAGTGTCAGGTGGTGGTGTCTGGAGTCTGGTAGTGTTAGGTGGTGGTATCTGGAGTCTGGTAGTGTTAGGTGGTGGTATCTGGAGTCTGGTAGTGTTAGGTGGTGGTATCTGGAGTCTGGTAGTGTTAGGTGGTGGTATCTGGTGTCTGTCAGTGTTAGGTGGTGGTGTCTGGAGTCTGGTAGTGTTAGGTGGTGGTGTCTGGAGTCTGGTAGTGTTAGGTGGTGGTGTCTGGAGTCTGGTAGTGTTAGGTGGTGATGTCTGGAGTCTGGTAGTGTTAGGTGGTGGGTGTCTGGAGTCTGGTAGTGTTAGGTGGTGGTGTCTGGAGTCTGGTAGTGTTAGGTGGTGGTGTCTGGAGTCTGGTAGTGTTAGGTGGTGGTGTCTGGAGTCTGGTAGTGTTGGGTGGTGGTGTCTGGAGTCTAGGTGGTGGTGTCTGGAGTCTGGTAGTGTTAGGTGGTGGTGTCTGGAGTCTGGTAGTGTTAGGTGGTGGTGTCTGGGTCTGGTAGTGTTGGTAGTGGTGTCTGGAGTCTGATAGTGTTAGGTGGTGGTGTCTGGAGTCTGGTAGTGTTAGGTAGTGGTGTCTGGAGTCTGGTAGTGTTAGGTGGTGGTGTCTGGAGTCTGGTAGTGTTAGGTGGTGGTGTCTGGAGTCTGGTAGTGTTAGGTGGTGGTGTCTGGAGTCTGTGGTAGTGTTAGGTGGTGGTGTCTGGAGTCTGGTAGTGTTAGGTGGTGGTGTCTGGAGTCTGGTAGTGTTAGGTGGTGGTATCTGGAGTCTGGTAGTGTTAGGTGGTGGTGTCTGGAGTCTGGTAGTGTTAGGTGGTAGTGTCTGTCAGTGTTAGGTGGTAGGAGTCACTCACCTATACGGGTGAGGTGGCTGGGGGTCTCCGGGAGGGGCAGAAGGAGTAGAACCACTGGAAGACTCAAGGCGGCGCCCAGCCACGCCAGCCCACGCCACGACAAGAACTCTCCCGCCGTGAAGCTCACCAGCAGACCTGGAACATAATCATCAACACACGCACTACTGCTAACCATCAACACACCCACACACCAGTACAGGTTTAAGTTAACATAATACAGAAACCAAAACTTAACAAAGGAAAGAATTAATGTAGACGATGAGAAAGACTTCACTACAAACCTTAAGAGGAAACTTAAATTAGAGCTGGGAGTTACTGTACCTAAGTTAGCAGATAGTGCGGGTATTGCTGCCAAGACGTCTCTGAGGTTCAGCTGGACGGTCTCGGACATGAAGACAAGTCTGGCAGCCGTCTGCGCGCCCACACACACCCCACCCACCATGCGGCCTACCACTACCCCGCCTACACCCTCAGACGTCGCTATCATCACCCACGCTGCAGGGAAAAAACACAGAAGACGACAGTGAAGACCCAACTCATCCATATGCTATTGACACATAATGTATAAACTTGTTTGATCGCTGTAGAGTAACACACGCACACAGCCATGTAAGGTGAAACGTACAGGAGCCAGGTATAACAGGAGGAGAACACGTACAACATCAGGTAAGGAAACACGTACATATCACCAGTGGCCAGGTGAGGTGGAGGAGGGTGGCGCGGCGGCCAAGGCGGTCAACCAACGTCCCTGTGGCCAAACTCCCCACCAGAGCACACGCCGGCATCGCCGCCCCCACCCATGACTCCTGCAACACAACACACGTGAAGATTTACTCAACACCATTAAATATGATAGTGACCCAACGACACACACACATACACATGCAGTATATATATACTGTATATATTTTTATATATATATATATATATATATATATATATATATATATATATATATATATATATATATATATATATATATATATATATATATATATTCTATGTTTGCCTTTGATACCCCCAAAATGTTCTACACTACTGAGGGTATACACAAACACTTGTTATCTTAAAAATAGGTTCTTATTCTCGTACGGGAGATATACAGAGATGAACCAAGAAACTCGCTTCCACACCATAAGGACTGGTGGTCTTTACTCTATGTATTACTGCGCGCTGGGATGTACAGATGCCAGCATTCACAAGCTGAATACATAAAATGTAAATATAATAATTTATATACATAACATGGTGCATAATAAATGGAAATATTACATAGAATTAATACATGTTCTGTAATACTTTACTATACATAATTAATAGGGTAATATAAGTATACACAGCTTAAGGTACTACTTAGTGTCCATATTATACACCTCCCTCCCCCCTATACGCTCATAGTTTCATCTTGAGCTGACCTTTTGTTTCCGAGTCCCTCGGACCTGCGGAGTACTGGGGCAGAAACACAAGGTGGGGATGGATTTACTGTAAAGACATCAGCATTAGGGGACTCTACTGGGGAAGGGTCAACACTACGCAGCTCCACAGGTCGGAGGAAACGACGGTTCCTCCACCATACTCTACCACTAGGAAGACGCACTTGGTAGTCCCTGGACCGGCCAATACCCATGACAACCCCAACCTTGTCCCAGCGGTGAGATACCGGATCTTGAATCCTGACCTGCTGGCCGATATTCAACCTGGGAAGGGGGCGGGCATGACAGTCGTACCGAGCAGCGACAACTGCAGCTCGTTCTGCTGCACGGCGGTCACATTCTTCAGTCTTAGCCTGCCACTCTTGAGAAAAAGACTTTGGGTGGGCAGGAACACAAGACCTGAGATGATGTCCGTATAGAACCTGGGCTGGGGAGCGTCCGGTGAAGTTCGGGGTGTTGCGTAACTCCAACAAACCTCGATCGAAGTCCTCGCAGTCGATATTTCCTGAGGATGACACCTTAAGGATCAGGTGTTTAACAGTCTTGACTGCGGCTTCAGCGTGTCCATTCGCCTGGGGGTAGTGGGGCGAGGTCACGACATGACGGACTCCCCAACGGTCCATGAAGTCCCGGAACTCGTGGCTGGTGAACTGGGGTCCTCCATCAGTCCTGAGGCGGAGGGGAACACCAACTTCTCTGAAGTAATGCCTGAAGCTCCGGATGGTAGCAGTAGCCGTTGTATCACTACCACAGGGGACGACAACAGGCCATCCAGACAATCGGTCGGCAATGACGAGGAAGGACTTCCCTGCTACTGCAAAGAAATCAGCCGACACAGACTCGAAGGGTCTTGAAGGGTTGTCGTCGCACATTAAAGGTTCCTGTTGCTGGCTGGGTTGCAGAATCTGGCACGGCTCACAGGCACGGACGGTACTTGCAATGTCCGCGTCGATTCCGGGCCAAAATGCAGTCTGCTTCGCCCGTCGCTTGGTGGCCTCCACTCCTCGATGGCTGTCGTGAAGGCGGGTCAAGGTACGGCGGCGTAGGGCAGCAGGAATGACTACTCGTGGACCATACAAGACGAGGTCTCCGTCACAATAGAGGTCCTCGCGTATCTTCCAGTACGGGAGTAGCGATTCATGAAGGTCGTATCGGTTAGATGGAAATCCCTGGGACACACAGTCGACGAGCCGGATGTAGGAAGGGTCGGCCCGGGCTGCGGTGCGGAGATCTTCAAGGGTCTTGTCTGCATCCGGTGCTGTAGACTCTTCTGATGTGAAGACGGCCTTCAATGGAACCACTGACTTGAGGGATGCAGCAGCTGTAGAACACAACATCTCGTCCTCTGGGGTGGGGCGACTGACAGGGGCGCGGGACAGGGCATCCGGGATGCACAACAGCTTACCCGCACGCCACACAGCCGTGAAGAGATAAGGCGAGAGCTTCTCTTTCAGACGTTGATGGCGAGGATTCTCTACTGCATCCAAAGAGTAGTGATTGATAATAGGTACAAGAGGGCAATGATCCGTGAAGAGGGTGAAGTGCTGAAGTCCTATCAGGTAGAAGCGGCACTTCGCCATCGCCCAGACAACAGCCAACATCTCCAGCTCAATCGTGGCATATCGGGTCTCGGCGTCCGTTAGGAACCGGGATCCACACTGAATTAAACGGAGTTGTCCACCGCCATGGTCCTGCAGAAGGGCGTAACCAACGCCGTAGAGTCTGGAGGCGTCAGTCTGGTGGACGGTGGGTAAGGCTGGGTCGTAACAGGCGAGGACAGGTGGACTTACGAGGGCCTGCTTGACTCGCTGGAAGGCCTCTTGATGATCTGGGGTCCACAGGAATGTCCTCCTGGGGCTCAGCAGAGGGCGTAACGGCTGGGCTGCGGCGGAGATGTCAGGTGAGAATTCAGCCAGCTGATTGACCAGACCCAAAAAAGAACGGAGGTCTGTCAGGTTGGCAGGGGTTGGAAAATCTCTGATTCCACTTACTTTCTCCGGGTCAGCTGCGATGCCTGATGCTGAGAGAGTGTACCCACAGAAGTTCACTGATGGTGCGGCGACTACAAACTTGTCAGCGTTGAGGGTAATCCCTTACTTTCGACATCTGGTGAGAACTTCATATATTCGGGAGAGGTGGGCACAGTAGTCTTCGTCATGGAGTAATATATCATCAACCACCTTGACACAATTTGTGACTCCTTGAAGGGCCGCGTCACCACGTTGACAGAATGCATCGCCCGTAGCGGCAAATCCCATGGGGCCTCTGCAATACTGATATCTTCCATATGGTGTGATGAATGCAGTCTAGTGTTGGTCTTCTTCGGCCAACTCGATCTGCCAATAACCACATAAGGCGTCCATTGTTGTAAAAAACTTCGCCTTCGGCTCCACATTTCGAACAGCTGCGAAGGGTGTGGGTGAAGGGTGGGCTGAACGGGAAACTTGCTGGTTAAGTTTTGACAGATCGGTGGTGATCCGTACTCCACCACGAGGTTTGGCGACGGGGACGAGAGGGTGGCACCAAGGTGAAGGTTCGTCTCCGGCCGGCTTGATGATTCCCTGAGCAACCATGGAGTCCAGCTCTTGTCTAACTAGCTCCTTGTAGGCGTGAGGAATCAAACGAGGGGTGTGGAATAGCCCACCTGGACATAGGCCACCGACCCACAACGGAGCCTGCGGTGGGGGGGGGGGGGGGAATAAGAGTAAAAAGAAATTAAAAGTAGAAGAGAAAAAGACGCAATTAATCTCCACCAAGAAGATGCCGGAAAACCAGCTTTTGGAAGTGAGACAGAATGTATAAGTATGGAAACAGAAGAAGGCAGAGCATTCCTTAGTTTGGCTGTGTGAGGAAAGAAGGATGTACTATAACGGGTTATTCTAGTGTGACCGACATCCACACAGAAACGGTTGGCACCGCGGGCAAGACGAGTGTTACGAGCCCACGGCCTTGCCGGCGGTACACAGGATGCCAAATCCACCGAACATTGCCCGTTAAAGTACCTGTAAAAGAGAGAGAGTGAAGCAACATTGCGGCGAAGAGAAAGGGAAGAGAGATTATCAACTAAAGGAGGAGAGTTAATAAGATTAAATGCCTTTGATTCCACCCTATCTAATAGTTGGACAGAAGAAGAGCCACCCCAGATATGAGAGCAGTACTCCAAGTTAGGACGAATGAATCCCTTAATACCTGAAGCAACTGCTCAGGAGTGAAGTAGCTACGGCATCTGTACAGCATTCCCAGCTTTAGGGAGGAAGCTTTGGCAATGTTGAGGACGTGTGGCTTCCATGACGTATTAGAGGAAATGGTGAGGCCTAGCATATCTATTTAGAATTTGGCAAAATAATTGAGTCCTGAAATGTGATTGGTGGAAGATCTTCTATTCTGGAAAGTGTGAGAGGTAAATAATGTGTTATATTACTATTGAATTTAATCAAGTTTCTACCTCCCCATTCGGAGATGCTCAACAGATCCGCATTAATTGATGAAAGGATATCAGCTCTAGAAACAGATCTACTGTAGTTTGAGAATTAGGGGGACGGGAAAAATGTGTAAAAGAGTGAAGAGTAGAATCATCAGCATAAGAATGGACAGAATTAGTCGTGGTGTGAAGTAAATCATTGATAAAAAAAAGGAAGAGAGTAGGTGAAAGAACAGAACCCTGTGGAACACCACTATTGGTAGAGAAAGGGCCAGAGATCGATCCCTCGACAACAACTGCCATGGATCGGTTCTCAAGTAAGCTAGAAATTAGAGAACAAAGTGGGGGAGAGAAACCATAAGAGGGAAGTTTAGAAAGCAAATACTTGTGCCATACCCTGTCAAATGCTTTGGAGATGTCGAGGGTTACGACGAAAGTTCCCCATACACCCTAAGAGAGGATGACCAAAGATTGGTGCAGTACGAGAGAGCAGATCACTAGTAGATCTCGCCTAGTGAAAGCCATACTGGTGATCCGACAAAAGAAAATGTCGTTCAAGGTGACGGAGAAAAGGAGAGTTTAAGATAGTTTCGAAAAACTTAGAGAGGAATGAAGTTCAGGCAATGGGGCGATAGTTAGAGGGATTAGAATGGTAACCATTCTTCTGAATAGGCTGAACCAAGGCGTGCTTCCAAGATGAAGGAAATGTTTGAGTTTTGAGGCAAAGGCAAAAGAGACGAGCTTGCACAGGGGCCAGAACTTCAGCACACTCCCTCAGAACACGAGGGGGTATTCCGTTCGGTCCATGCGCCTTACTCACATCCAACCCGGATAACACACCAGCAACCCGACGAGTGGAAATTATAGGAGAGTGCATAGGTTCAGTAGGCGGAGCAGGAGTAGGGGGGAATCGTCTAAGGTGGAGTTATGGGAGAATAAGGTGCCAAAGAGATTGGCTTTGTCAGGGGGAGAGTTGGCTATAGAGTTATCAGGTCGGAAGAGAGGAGGAAAAGAGGGAGTGCGGAAGTCAATACAGATGTTTTTGGTTATGGACCAAAAGGGTTTACTGGAATAAAAGTTGGTCAGGTCAGCGGTCTTTCTTTTTATAAAATTCCGCTTGGCCCTACGAAGAATAGCCTTACAACGATTCCTAGAAGTAATGAAATAGGAGTCAGTAACAGGAGAAGGTGATAGTTTCATATCTTGATACGCCCTATCTCTCTCTCCCTACATACAAGAGAACAGGAGCGATCAAACTATGATTGTAAAGTGAAAATTTTGTTGGAAGATGGGATAAATGCACTCATACCACCTTGTATATATATATATATATATATATATATATATATATATATATATATATATATATATATATATATATATATATATATATATATATATATATATATATATATATATATATATATATATATATACACAGCATGGTACCATTGATCGTTCAGTTTAGTCTGTACGACTACCAGGCCATATCTCGTGTAATGGCTTATTTCTATTTTTGTTTTATCACTGAGGATGGAGACGTAATGCTCTGAAACGTTTTGACTCTAACAAAGAATTATATTCAACACAGGAATGGTGTGTATGTGTGTGTGTGTGTGTGTGTGTGTGTGTGTGTGTGTGTGTGTGTGTGTGTTCTATCCTCCGAGTTCGCTGGAAAGACAAAAGAACAAATGCCAGTATTCTTGCTGGCCATGTTACCCGCATGGACGACAGTAGACTGCCAAAGCAGCTACTTCACAGTCACCTAAGGAAAACTAAACGTAACGCCGGCGGGCAGACAAGCGCCAACGCCGGAAAGACGCTGTCGCCGCCCCTCCCGCACTTGAGGTAGCCCTCCACATGTGCAGCATCTGTGGACGACCCAGCCGGTCCCATATCGGCCTCTCGAGTCACCCCAGAACTCACCAACGAAGGTGACATCCTTGATAACTCATATAATTTTATCATAGCTGGATGATCGTCATACTCGATTCCGAGTGACAGAAAAGTAGTAGTAGGAGTAGTAGTAGTATGTGTGTGTAATAATGATAAAAATAGTATTAGTAATAGTAGTAGCAGTAGTAGGATCAGTATTATTATTACTATCAAAATAGGTTACGGACGAACCTGTTCCTTGGTGATGGAGAAGTGAGGGTCAGCACGCATGGAAGGCAGGGCCGGGGAGGTGTAACTCATAGCCGTAAACGACACCAGCGACCCCATGCCTACTGCGCCCGCGGCCATTACCTGTAATACAAGATGATTATTAGCCATTCGGGCGGTTGGTCTATCCAGTGTTAGTACTGGAGGAAACCAGGGACCGGGAAACCTGTGGTGTTTGGTAGTGAGGGTCACACTGGATAACACCCTTTAGCCTTCTCACGTTTGTCCGGGCTCAAACCGCTGGAAAACATATGTCCTCTACTTATCTTTAGATTATGATAAAAAATAGAACTCGCATATGAGTAATGAAAACACCTGTCCTGGGTCCTGTGGCATCGCAGGTTAAGAGGAAGAATGTATTCCCCGGAGTGTCTCCACCAAACTACGATGGCTTATACGGAAGCACGAACCCTGACACCACCTCTCGTTTATAGTTTTTTTTCATCAAAACAATGAATGTGTGTGGGGCGCCGGTGGTAGAAGCGGTACCACTCTTGCTTCGCCCTTAACTCATGAGACATAAAGGCAAGCATGAACTTAGCATGCTTCCCTGTTGGGCGCTGTAGGCGCTTCTGCGCTTCACCTTACACAGGATGTAGGGGGGTGCCCAATAAAAAAAAATGTGTGTGTGTGCTTGCATGGTGGTGTAATGCGTCCGTGTAGCAGCATTATGTGAATGTTAAGTTGCAAGCACTGCTTGCTTCCTCTCGCTTTCAGCTACTGCCTCTGGCTAGCCCTCGTGGTGATCAGGGAAGCAACTTCTATAAGTCCTACCCTGCCAGTACACAGCCTTTTCACCATCAATAATTGTACCAATGGATTAGAAAAAGGGAGAGCCAAGATGTGTTGCTGCAGCCTGCGCTCTTGCTTCACCACATAAATCAACTCACGTGCAGCCATCATCCAACTCCTCATACTCCTCATCATCATCAAAACCCATATACCCCCAAAAGTCCAATGGCAGTGGTTCTCAACCTGGGGGCCATGGCCCCCAAGGGAGCCACGGCAAGAATTTAGGGGAGCCACGACGAGCTGTTATAAATTGTGCGTTTCCAAATAATGTTGGGAATCTGAAATAAACAAAACTTGAATTACTTATTGTGACTTGGCAGAAGAGAATTTTCATTATTTTTTTGTCATGTTGTTTAATCATAATGACAATACAATTTTAATATTTACTTACTCTGGTGCTATTTTTTTATTTTTTTTATGGATTATTTAAGATTTCACAGGTCCAGTCCCTGTCTGTGTGACAGGCGCTGGACCGAGCTGCTGAACTGACTTGTTCAGTACGTGTCCGTGTGTCATCCCTTTCCAAGTGGTGATAGGACCTAATGATCTCAGTCTGACCTGGGATACCATCACGAAAACAGTGGAGTGTATTGCATCTGAACCATATATTGTGTTTGAGCTTGACTCAAGCATAATATACTCCGTAATTGGTGTTACTTATTTTGTTTCATAATTCATGTGGTCGCTTTTTTACGTGGGTGAAATATTTGTACACTTCCTTTATTAATTATTTCTTTAATTATTGGTGCCATTGTTGTTCATACTCATTCTTTACTTATATAATCCTACCATTTTTAGTGCTAAATTGGTATGACTCACTATTCCTCTCATTCTTCCTAGTTGGGCAGTGCTTGTCAAAGGAGGCGTGTTCTTGCTTACAGGAAGTACACTACAGCTTGCTAGCTTGAGTGTGCATGTTTGTGTATGACTGTATGTGTGCTTTATGTGTGAATGCATGGGCGTGTTATGTATGTGAATGTGTGTGTGTGTTTGCCATTCTAACTCTTGTCCTATTTATCTGTCCTTCTTTATCATTCTTTAGTCTTTATCACTTGTCTGTTTGTCTGTTCTGGGAGAAAAATGAAGGAGGCCACGAGGATGTTGAAAATTCCTCAAGGGAGGAATGGAGTGAAAAAGGTTGAGAACCACTGTGGACCTATGGCAACGGACGACTGGCGACGGGGACAGGTAGTGATGACTGCCGGGAGTCTAGTCACAACTGTGCACATGGGTGGCACAGATAAGATGGTCGTTTATGCACTGGGATCTAGGCAGCAGTGCAATTAGGTCCTGTCTGTGCGACTGAACAGCCTTTTCGAGGAGCCACTCTGCTCACCCAACATGGGGAGGGTGCTAGAAAGGGTACCCTAAACATAGCCTGCCTAAAGAACCAATCTGACTGGGCAACTGCACCCAGTAAGGTCATCCTTATGCGGTGGAAAACACAATCATAATCACAGATGAAAACAAAAGCAAATTATGCTACCTCTTTTGGTCGCTGCATGGAATGTCAGGACCCTTCTGGAAACTAGCACAGATCAGCGTCCTGAAAGAAGAACCGTCCTTGTGGCAAAAGAGTTGGCTGGGTATAACATCGACATAGGCCCCGTTGTGGGTCGTTTGACCTGTGCCCGGGTGGGCTAATTCCCATAAAAAAAAAGAAAAAAAAGAAAAAGTGAGTCCCGGCTCCCAGACGAGGGTGGACTCACAAAACTGGAATCTGGCTATACCTTCTTCTGGAAGGGTAAGCCTCCTGCAGAGAGAAACCACATTTATGGAGTTGGCTTTGCCATCCGCCAACACATCCTACACGGGCTAACTGAAATGCCTGTTGGGATCAACGAGCACCTCTTGACGCTCTGCGTCCCACTGAATCACTCACGTCATGCCTTTTTCATCAGTGCATACGCCCCAACACTGGATACAGAGGATGACATCAAGGAGACCTTTTACGCTGACCTCGACAGAGTGCTAACCTCTATCCCCAGAAAAGATAAGGTTGTGCTCTTTGGTGAGAGATGCTGGTAGAGATGCTGACATTTGGCAGGAAATCATAGGGAGAAATGTACTACGCAAGTGTAATCCCAACGACCTACTCCTCCTCATTGAGTGTGCTGCACACAACCTAACTGTCACCAATACCCTGTTTAGGCAGGTCGACAAGTTCAAGGGTTCCTGGCAACACCCACAATCCAAACACTGGCATCTCATTGACTTCATTATTATCAGAGAAAGAGATCGCCGAGATGTCCTCATCACCCGTTCCAGGCGTGGCTCAGACCACTGCGACATATCATCGGCTCATCAGAGCCAAGCTCTCACTTCACGTCGCCCCAAAATGGCGAAGGCAACAAGCCTCTAGAAGAGGGTTTAACACTAAGCGTCTGGAGGATTCAGTTGTAGCACATGCTTTCAGAGAGCAGCTCGAACGTGGGTTGATAAACAAGCCGACAACAAACAACCCAAATCCCAGTGCCAAATAGGGTATTCTCGACAATGTCATGACAAAAACCTGCAGAGACCCTCGGCCAGATCAAAAGAATAAACCAGGACTGGTTTGATGAAAATGACTCGGAATTCAATATACTCGTCGATGATAAACGTGAACAACCCTCAGTCTCAGACCAAAACTGATAACTTCAGCAAGAAGAAAGCGGTGGCCCAGTGCGAACTTCGCAATCTGAAGGATGACTGGTTTAAAAATAATGCATGTGAAATGTAAAAACTTGCAGATTAACACAAGATGCGTGAAATTTTCAATTCCACTAAAATATTTTATGAGCCAATCACTCATGGTGCAACCCCCCTCCGTTCTTTCGACGCTAACTCCCTAATTAAAGACAAAGAAGGCATCTTTCAGGGGTGGAAAGAGCACTACTATTCACTGCTCAACCGAAACACTGATGTGGATGTCCTGACCACCCAGCAGGTCCCTCAGCATCCAGAGTTGACCCATCTCAGGTATCCTCCATCACTGAATGACATAGCTACTGCCATTAAACAGATGGAAAATAACAAAGCCTCAAGGCCTGATGGAATCCCAGCTGAGGTGTATAAAGCAGGAGGACCTCTGCTTATCAGCCACCTCCACTCTCTCCTGGAGAATATATGGAAAAAGAAGGAAATCCCCCAAGCTCTTAAAGACGCCTCCATCGTCAATATTTATTAGAACAAGGAAGGATGATCAGACTGTAGCAACTACCGTGGGATCTCACTGCTCTCCGTAGCTGGCAAGATTATCGCCCGAGTCCTCCTGAACAGACTTCTTCCTAAGGTGAAAACTTCCTCCCAGTATCTCAATGTGGCTTTTAGACCGTCACGTGGCACCACTGACATGATCTTTGCTGCCCGCGAGATACAGGAAAAAGGCAGAGAACAGCGTCGTGACCTGTGTATGACCTTCATCGACCTAACCAAGGCCTTCGACTCCGTCAACAGGGAAGCCCTCTGGTGTACCCTCAGCCGTTTTGGCTGCCCATCAAAATTCATCGCCATTGTGAGGCAACTCCATGATGGCATGAATGGCAGTGTCCTGCACAATGGCATCCAGTCTGAGTTTTTTCCCCATCCAAACAGGGGTAAAACAAGGATGTATTCTGCCACCAACTCTCTTTTCCATTTTCTTGGCTGCCTTCCCTACTCGTGCCAGTGCCAATTTAGCCAGTGGGGTGGACATCCAGAACCGGATGAAGGGTCCTTTCAACATAAGATGACTCCAGGCAGGAACAAAGGTGTCGGCAGCTTCCATTACTGAACTTTAGTATGCAGACGACCTCACCCTTGTCGCTCAAACTGAACGTGACCTACAGAATATCCTGAACACCTACGCAGATGTGTATGCACACTTCGGCCTTGAGGTGAATGTACTGTACGTAAGACTCAAATTCTCTTTCAGCCTGCCCCTGTTTCAGCCACAACTCCACCATCCATCCGTCTTAACGGTACCACCCTCTCTAATGTTACCCACTTTTGGTATCTCGGCTCCCACCTGTTCACCACCACGGACATGGATGAAGAGATTCAACATCGGATCAGATGTGCATTTCAAGCCCTTGGCAGACTCCGTACCATGTCTTCATCTGTAGGGAGCTGAAATTATCTACAAAGTTGCACGTATATCAAGCAGGAGTCCTCCCCACCCTGCAAAATGGCAGTGAGACATGGGTCACATACTGGGTGCCTCCTCTGAGTTCACTGGGAAGAAAAGAGAGCAAATGCCAGTATTCTCGCATCGAGGCTACCATTATCCATGAACAACTATACTGGACTGGCCATGTTACCAGCATGGACGACAGCAGACTGCCAAAGCAGCTACTTTACAGTCACCTAACGAATAGTAAACATAACGTTGGCGGGCAACTGAAAAGGTATAAGGATAGTCTTAAGACAACCTGAGAAAGTGCCATATCGACCCCCTCACCTGGGAGACAATTACTCCACACCGTAACGCTTGGAGGATCACCACACGAGGTGCCAAAACTTTTGAGTTAGCCCGACTGTATACCGAGGCAGACAAGCGCCCACGCCGGAAAGACGCTGCCGCCACCCCTCCCGCACTAGATGTAGCCCTCCACTTGTGCAACATCTGTAAGACCCTGCCGGTGCCATATCGGCCTCTTTAGTCACCTCAGAATTCACCAACGTAGGTGACATCCTTAATAACTCATATCATTGTATTATAGCTGGATGATCGTCATACTCGATTCCGAGTGACAGCAAAGTAGAAGTAGTAATAGTTTGTGTGTGACAGACCCCAAAGTTTTATACTTCTTAATTTTCTTTTAATTATTATAATCGCTCATAGGAGCGATTTTGGTTTGTGCAGGACAATAAGACCCTTGTCGTTGACGCGATGAGTATAATTCGGTCAAAACCTGTTGAATACAATTCACATATAACAACTGCTGGTACATCAGGACACAGTTTGAATAATACGATCAATATACAGTACATAATTACACTTATTAAAGTTATTTAGAGTTCTCAGAGGATTCAACAGTTCACAATCACACTCAAGTTTTGGGGTCGAGGGTTAGACCAACGAGAACAAATATAATGTCCTGCTGGTGATGTTGGCTGACGAGAATCAAGATGTTGCCTCAGGCAGTCACACAGCTGCTACCAGCTCCATCTCGCTTAGTAAGCTATCCTGAGTTGTAAACAGTTTCTTCACCTAACATGTGGCCTGCGCGCACAATTGTGCGTGGCAATAACAATTATCATTTCCCCTCTGATCAGCTTACTAGCCGTTCGGGCGGTTAGCCTGTGCTTTGTTATGACTTTTATTATCCAGTATTAGTGCAGAATGAAATCGGAGAACCCAGAGAAAACCTGTGATGTACGGTAGGGTCAAACTGCATGGATACCTCCCATCTCACGTATGTTCCACAAGCTGGAGACTGAACCCGGAGACAGTGATACTCACCGACTCCTCTCTAATTTCAACAACCCCATTTCTAACACTTTTAAGCGAGTATAAGGTGGATAATTATCTCTCCAAAATGGCAGGAATGACGTCTTGTGTAGCTTAACTTTAGTCACTGTAATAGGCTGGCCAGACATCCTGCTTTTGAACACTCTGTCCTCCGTCCTGCGCCACCACAAGCAGGATGTTAATTTGTCCTTCTCTTTTGGGCCCGTCTAAAAAGAATTATATAAATTACCTTACGTATACTAAAACAGTGGGAACAAAAGGCCACAATAACAATTGACGTACAGTATTTTTATTATAATTTTATGTAGTGGCCGTTGGCAACACTACGCGTGGAGCCGCAGTGTACGTGGACGAGACGAGCCAAGCTATCAATCAAGTACACGTCGGAGTAAAATTGAATATTCATTTCTTTCAGTTTTTTATTTATACTGTATGAATGCATGTATCATGTATGTAACATATACCGTGCGTTTAAAAAAATTGAAAATTTAGAAAAACCTCAAAATAGCCTTCATTACATTATAGTGATACTGTATTTGACAAATCAACACATCTAAGTATATTCTGTATATTTTATGCAACTTTTTATATTTCAATTCATCATTAAACATGTTTAATTTAGGTTAAAATTAAGTGTCGTAAAAATTTAAAAAATTTCCTCCTTTTTGGAAATTTGGAAATGGCCACCCTACGGCCTGTGCTTGATCGTGTAAATCATTTTGGTAAATAGTTTTGAATTAATTTATCAGCGTAAGACTCCACAAAGTAGTGGATCCTTTTGCCTATTTTATCTAGACCAAGAGGGTTGTCTCAGGTGCTCCACTGGATCAGCTCTAACCTGTTATTCTAGTAACGTGAGTAGAGGCATAAACCTGAGAATGAGGTCATATCCTATTATTGATTTGTTCACCCTTCGGTCGTTTTCTAACACACCAGCAGCCTATCCGAAGATTTATTGTGTCAGTGTTCTCTCGTTGTTGTTTCAGTTTATGACCTTGAATGACCTCTAAATGCCAAGTTGGTGACCTTATCTAGGGTCAGATTTTTCGGGCACCTATGGATTCGGGTTCCTTAGGTCAAAATTTTTAAGACCACTGTAGTGGATACTCTCCCCTACAACTGTCACTACCGTTAGTCACTGATCAGCGATCCCACGACGAAGTTTCTCAGACAAGTCTAGACGTCTATACTAAGGGGGGGGGTCGACACCGGCGACGCTTACTTCCGGTTTTACTGCCGGTGGACGTGTGTATAAGCTCCCAGCCTGCAGAAGACCTGTATTAGCCAAAAAGAAAAAAAGAAAGATAGCAATAATAACCCAACTCTGCCAACCACTAACAAAACCTACAATCCTCCCAAAACAAAACTTAATATACCCGACCTTTCTAACAACCCCCTTCGACCCCCCTTACAAAAAAAAATAAATAAATAAATAAATTCACTTATATATATATACAACTATTCATTACCACACAAATCAAATCACCCCTAAGAAATCCTACTACACCATAAATCAACTTAACTACCTCCAAAGCCTCCCCCCTCCCCCAGAGAAAAAAAAAAGAAAAACTCCAATCTCATAACCATACCTAAAATCCTCCCAACAACTCACCTGACCTTACTAACAATATCCTCCCCCCCTCACCCCTTACTATATTGACTCACACACAACTCCCCCAGACAAAGCCTTACATAAATACTACAACTCTCTAGAACCAAATCAAACATACCCAACCTGTGACATCCACTCGCTAAAATCGACCTAACTCAAGATTGAAACCAACCAATCTATATCTCATTCTCATCTCCGTTCATAATTTGACAAAAAGCTCAAATCTGTCTCCTGCTATTACTAAAAACTCTCCTACGATACGCTCATCCTTCCTTACTACGAATACTTTGACATTTCAAGCTCAAAGATTCAAAACCCTTCCTCCAACTCGCTCCGTTCCTCTTTGACATAGCTCAAAGACTTTACCTTCATCTTTCTCCAAACAACCCTACGACTAGCTACATTTCCATTTTCCCTTTCCTTGTTTCTTTGACCGAGTGTGGCCTGTGCGTCCGTCCACCTGCGCTTCTCTGCTTGCGCCACCGCCGTGAGGGGGGCAGTTCTTCCTCCGCTTTGCCAACACTGCCTGAGCTAAGACGACAACCAGAGCACCCGCGTTGGCCCTTTGCCTGCCCGATCCGAATCCCGCCCCACCTCTGCCTCGTCCTGATTGTGATTGTTACACCATCTGGGCACATTGCCTACCCAGTGCCACTCACGCAAGCGGTGTTTAGCCACTGCACCTGTTCTCTCCTTCTAAAATTCACTTCAATCCTCCCTTTATCCTTCCCCTGAACCTCCTTCCCCCCTTGTCACTAGCATTTAAGTCAAGTCAAGTCGTTGAAGTCCATTCTACCTAGAGCCCTGCCACACGCAATACCTCCTCTAAAGAAGCTCCTGCACAGCAACTCCTCTACCACGCAGCAACTCTCCACCACCATAGCTGAGTTTCTCTTCTCACCTCCATCCTATGTGCGCTTCAACATAACGAAATCCCACACCACATTAAAAATTCCTTTTCACAAACAATGTAACAAACTATCAACTTTACTTAGTTCGTCTCCACTAAAGGCTTAACAAATCTTCAGATGACTGTACAACGTGAGACTTAAGATTAAATTTGACTAGGAAACTTCAACACCGAAATGGATTAAGTTAAAATAGCCTCTTACTTGATAGGTGACGTGGCTCTTATTTGCAGGATCCCTCATCGATCCTATAGGTTCCTTGACTGATCCAGCTGGTTCTTTCATCTCCTCTGCTAGGTCTCCCATCGCCTCTGTTTACACTGTGACTCGGGGTCTTTGTATTCCGTCACCCTACAGAGCAGGTAAATGCAGCGGGAGGGTATGTCCTCCCTGTGTTGTGACTGCCGAATGATTAAGACAGTAGCTCGGGAAGCAGCTTCATTATGTGAACACTCCTTGTTGCTGCACGCCTCCTCTGTGTGACGAGAGCGTGAGGGCACCAAAACTTTGGATCTACAGTCAAGAAAAAATCTCTTACACTGTACAGTTATTTGCAGTTTTTCACGTCTAACTGTTAGCAGTTACATACGTTTTACATTTACTCCTGGACAGGTTGTGTGTATTTATCCCAGTGAAAAGGTTGGCTCTCTCTTTGGACCCGGTCTGGGGTAAATACACAAGTCCTATACACGTCAGTTGTATCAAGTTATTACATGTTTTCATTAATTTCACTCTTTTAAAGAATCTCAAATAATTCACAATTTTCTAATAAAACCCTGCGGGCTCCATATGGTTCCACGGGCGCCGAACGACAGGTAAACCAAAATATCACCTCACCTGATCTAACTTCATATAAAGCTATAGGCTAATAGATGGGAAGGTAATGTCCATTTTTAATCATTTGGTGGTGAAATTTTGACGAATGTTTAATAGCCCTGATGTAGGTCAGTGACCTGTGCTCGGGTGGGCTAATCCCCGTAAAAACAAAATCGTAAGACTCTCCAAAGTATTATTTCACGAGTGAATATGAGCCAATTTTGTTATTTTTTAGCGAAACTTTAGTTGGGAGGAAAATTATCTGGGAGGATTTTGCTTGTGCAGGCATCCAAGGCACCCTGACATGAACTACCGACTTAACTCCCATGTTTCCCAACTAGTCTTTTGTTCTTTTTTCTTTTTTAACGAGGATTAGCCCACCCGAGTACAGGTCACTGACCCACATCGGGGGGTGGGGGGCGAAAATGTAATAATAATAATAATAATAATAATAATAATAATAATAATAATAATAATAATAATAATAATAATAATAAAGACATACAAAAATTAAAAAAAAAGATCAAGAGTGAGAAACAATATATGTATGTTGAGTTGTCAAAGTAAGAGAAACAATTGAGACCCTGCAAATGTGTGTAAATGAGGCAGAAAGTCAGATCAGTAACCTGGGACTTTGTCACAATTTTCGTGATGCCATATGGCAGCAGGGTCTACGATTAGGCAACACATTATGCTTCCAATATTTTCCCTGGCGGTAGTACCTCCCTGTTTGTTACCTGCCAACTACCTACTGTACTACCTATACTTCTTTTATTATTAACATTTCCGCCATTTATCATACTACTAGCCATTCAGGGTTTAGTCTGTTCTTAGCTATGGCCTTCATTGACCAGTGTTAGTACAGGAGGAAACCGAAGCACCCCGAGAAAACCTGCGATGTTGCTATGGTAGGATGTGAGGTGCATACTTTACACCTCAGGAGCTATTTTTCTCAGGTTGGGCACTCACTATTGTCATCCACTGTGAACATCGAGTGCTTATGGCATGGAAGCTTTGGTCTTGGCGGGAGGTGTAGTGATGGGTTGTCAGACCACAGCTTACATCTCAGAAACAGTCCAGACCTGACCCGACATTAGGGGGGGTCAAGTGTAAGGGTACCCCTCGCTGCCCGCTCAAGGGGTTTCAAATCAACCAGCACCCCTCCCTTGTCACACGGCGCCAACAAATATGTAAGAGACACCCAGTCAGAAGAAGCCACCTGCCGACTCTCCCTCAATTTACACAATAACCTACAGTACATCTCAGAAAAAGTCCAGACCTGTCCGCACACTAGCGAGGTCAAATGTAAAGGGACCCCTCGCAGCCCAAGTCAAGGGGCCACAAATCAACCAGCACCCCTCTCATGTCACACGGCCCCACCAACGGTGTTAACAGGCACGCAGTCAGCACAAGATTCCTCCAAAATATACAACAACTTTTAGCTCCGAAAAAGTCCAGACCTGACCTCACATTAGCTAGGTCAAATGTAGGGGTACCCCTCGTTGCCACCCAGTCATCTGCCGGCTCCTTCCCCAATATAGGACCTGTAACGGGCCTCACGAGAGAGAGTCTTGTAACCAAGAAGGGCCAGCAACAACGTCCCCAGTCCCGCTCGAGAGAAGTCCGCCACTAAGTGTAACGAGGTCTCAGCCGGGTCCATCGACAGAGTGCTGTCAACTCAACGTGTAACAGTAAGTGCTGGCTGTGTAGACGGTAGAAGTGCGGTGATTTCGAACCTCCCCAACGATCGACTTAGTGAAGTGCCCGTTCTAATTGTGAGGTTAGGTTATACGAGAATACCATAGTCTATCATAAATTGTGTATGAACCCCCCATAAACTCCCCCTGTTGAACTAGTAAAATAAAGCTCTAACACGCATTGGTGTTTTATATACTACACTTGTACTGTACCCTCGAGACACGCTACCATTTCCTCTCACTATATGACTCTACTACTATAAACTCCTAGCTTACCTCTTCATATGAGATTTTGTCTCATTATAAGTGTTATCATAACACCTGTAGTGGATACTCTTCCCTACACTGCCGATTTGTCGCTGAGCAGCCGACCCTGCCGCGAGTTTCTCAGCCCAAGCCTAGCTTTCGGACTGCGCGGTGATTGGCCAGCAGCGCCGCTCACTTCCGCAGACTTGTATAAATACTCCGTGAAGAGGATTCTAAGAGGATTCTACTCAACGCTCTCAAACCAACAAGACCTCCTCTCAACAAGCTCCTCACCACACAGCAACTCCCTAGCACTGCGTTGTACACACACACACACACACACACACACACACACATATATATATATATATATATATATATATATATATATATATATATATATATATATATATATATATATATATATATATATATATATATATATATATATATATATATATATATATATATATATATATATATATATATATATATATATATATATATATATATACCGCCACAATGGCTAAACTAGAAGAGGGATATACAATAAGATGAACTAGGCGGGAGAGAGAAGTGAGATAAGAGATATAGTGTTGACAACGAAGTTGCTGACGTGTTTGATGCGATGCAGCAACGTCTCTTGGTTCTAGTTTGCTACTGTGGCGGTAACACTCCCCCTGTCGGGCTTCTCACGAAATTACGGCATATTATTAGATTCACTCTCCGACCCCTTCCAACAGGCAGAATTTCGTCACTGGGCGTATTAACACTTGAGTCCGTTATCTTCACTTTAACACTTCGCACCAGGCCATCTTTGCTCGGTAGAGCCTCCAGTACTCTCCCTAGCATCCACTGACTCCTGGGAAGGGGTTGTCCAGAGATGATCACGATTTCCCCAGCGTGGAGATTATGGTGAGTTTTGAAGAATCTTTGTCGCTGATGTTATGTTGGGAGATATTCTTTTCCCACCTTTCCAAAATTTGTCCGCAATGAATTGGGTGTACTTCCATCTTCGTCGGTACCCTTCTGTCATGGACCGATCGCCTCCGGTGGACAGTGTCTCCGGGTTCATCCTTAGTATGTGGAGCGGCGTTAGTGCTTCTAGATCCTTTGGGTCGTCAGACACTGGGGTGATGGGCCTTCCGTTGATAATCTCTTCTACGGCGCAGAACACAGTGCTGAGGCGTTCATCGTCTAGTGTCTGGGTGCCCACCACTCCCTGGAGGACCTTCCTTACATTGCGGATTTGTTGCTCCCACACTCCTCCCATGTGAGGGGCTGTTGGGGGGTTGAACTGCCATTCTATTTGTTTCTGTAGGAGGGCATTCCCGACCTTGTCACTGTTGTTCCAGCCGTTCACCGCCTCTCGTAACTCTCGGGTAGCTCCAATCATGTTGGTTCCCTGTCAGACCGAACACGCTTGGGAGGTCACCTGCGGGAGGTGCATCTTGTCAGGGCATTGGCTCTTGTGACGCTCGGAGCGATGAGTCCCAGTGGGTCATATATGGGGCTGACCATACTCAGAAGGTTTCGTTTCGTCTCTAGTTTCTTGGGGATCTGGTCCCGGACCTCTAGTTCGTCCTTTTCCAGGTCCCACAAGATTCCCAAAGCTCGTTCATTGGGGAGCCTGTCGTTTTTCAAATGACTTCCTTTATTCCCACGGCTTTCTCTGTCTGTGGAATTGCTTTGAGGACTTCCCTGTGATTACAGACCCCCTTCGTAAGTCCGAATCCGCCCTTCCTTTTCAGCTGTCTTAGTCAATGGGTAATTATCCTTTCCTTCCCCGGCGAATCTATTGAGAGAAGCAGATCGTCAATGTAGAAGTTACAATTCGCTTTCTTGATGTCGTCATGGAGGCTTTCCCTGCAATCTTGGAATGTTCGTTGTAGCGCATATCCGGCGCATGAAGGGCTACACATACCTTCAAAGAGATGTACTGTCGTTTAGTAAGTGGCGGGGCCCCTGGCGGCTGGTCGTCCGTCCACCATAAGAATCGTAAGGCGTCTCGATGTTCGTTACTACTCGCACTTAATGGAACATTGCCTCGATATCAGCCATGAGTGCCACCTTTCCTTGTCTGAATCTGATGAGGACTCCCATCAAATTTGCTGTTTAGGTTCTGGCCCTTGCATCACCTGGCTGTTCAATGACATCAACTCACATTTGGCTGTACAATCAAAACTATTTTCACCTTTTCTGGCTTGTTGGGATTCAACACTGGGTGGTGTGAGAGATACCAGGTCTTCCCGGGTGTAACACTGAGTTCTTGATGTGGCATGTCCCTCGTCGACTAGACGTCTCATCTCTTCTTGATACCTCTGAGAGAGCCTTGGGTTCTTTAGGAGGCATTTTCGGACCAGCCAGTCGCTGTTCAGCAAGCTTCTTATTGTCTGAGAGTTCCGGTTCTTCCTGGTGAAACAACAATGACCTTGGGGATCGTGATAGATCGGCTCTTTCTTTCTCCTACGCTAACCACTTTTGCACTGATCTCTTCGGCGTTTACACTACTTCTTTCTTTCATGATTGTGCCAATGGAGAAGGAAAAACTGGCATTCCCTCTGTTTGCAGCCTTGGTACTGCTCGTCAGAAACTCCCGTGAAGAGTAGAAGCCTCGAGTGTACTCCAGAGCAGCCACCTATACCACACACCATCTCCTGGCTGCACTCCGTTATCCGGTGATTATGACCCAGGCTGGCGAAGTAGCGACATTCTTCCCCTACGAGGGAAGTTCATTTCGCTGTGGACATGCTGAGGAATGTCCGACACATCTGAAGGTGATCTCCGTGGCATAACGAGTAGCGTTCATCGTCCGTTTCTCTGGTGGTCTTCATTCTTGATGTCACCAGACCCACAAGTTTCTTCCTCGACGAGGATTGGCGTGAGGGTGAGTCTGCATATATTCAGCTTGGTTTCTCCGGCCCTTGTCAACCATATCCATAGTGAATTCCAACATCCACTCGATTCCAGGAGGCTTTCCTTGCTTCCCTTTGTATTTATGCACGTTATTCACATAGTCGTCACTTATGGTCCTTCATCAGCGTTAGTGGTTTCGGCGAGCGAGTTTGATGCTCGGAAGTACCTCCGTGCTCCCCCAGGTGAAATATTCCCGGCTCCGTGGTTAAGGTGAGCGTCGAGAGTCCTCTTGAAGTATATAGCATTTCTTTGTCAGTTTCGGTTTCAGGAAGGTCGTGTCTCTGGTAGTGGTAACACCTTTCCGCTATCCTCTGTTGTTGTTGAGATTGTCGGACCGTAGTCCGACACGGACCTTTTCCTGTAGGCGGCCCGTTTGGAGGTTCCGGGTGGAGCTCTTGGAGCAGCCAGGCCGGATTTGGGATTGGGGATGGAGGTTATCCTACCTGCAGGTATGAAAGGATACTGCAGGTTTGCAAGTGTAAGCGGACCCCCGATCAGTGAACGCTTACCACCAACCCCCACTCTTGGGCGTGGTCAGTTTCGGAGTGGAGCGCCCCCTGAACCGGGGTCCGCACTTGCTGGGGAGGATACTTCCTAAACTATCTGGGTGATGGGTATAGTGTGATGACCCGGAGAAGGTGGTGCGTGGTTTGTTTGGGCCTTTGAGATTGCTACTAACTATGTTTGTAGCGTAGAGCAGTCATTAGAAGTTCCCAGCTGAGGGTCTGACCATGGGCGTAGAAGGCCACTCCTGATCTATGATATTTTGGGTCCACCGAGCTGTCTGTGAAGTAGGGTGCTGCATCGGCCGGTGTTCAGTGGTTATGGGTTCCTGAGTGTCAATGCTTCTGGAAAGTGGGTATGACGGGTGGAAACACGTTCCCTCTCCCTCCAATGGGATGTTCCCGTCCCTGAAGCGCTGTGTTGGGACCCTCCTTGGGTGGGTGTCGAGGTGTAGCAGCTAGACACTCCTGATTCCGGCGGTTGACAACGTGTGTCTCGTGCATACCTCGTTGTGGCTGTCATCCCTTCACTCGTTTCCAGAAAGGGTTTTCCTCATGTTAATGACAGCATCTCACCAAAGTCCTCCGTATCGCCTAAAGTCTGAAGTTGCTCCATATAATCTTTCATATTCTGCACCTTTGCCGTCAATTGGGTGAGCGTCAACTGTTAATCCCCCGATTACCCTGGCTGTGTGAGTGACCGGTTAACATTTCCGTCGTTCAGGGCCTCCAGGTCTCCTCTGCTTTGTTTCCTTCCATGACTGGTGACACAGTGGACAGCTATAGAGGTTCGGTTAAGCAGCAACGCTCTTCAACTAACACGTCTGCTTGTTTATAAAGATGTCATATAACTGAGGTTATACAAATGATGTAATACAATCTGAAGTCATGTAAGTGATGTCATACAACTGAAGTCGTATAAGCGATGTCATACAACTGAAGTAATATAAGCGATGTCATACAATCACGACCACAATGAGACTTTAGTTGATGTCACACAATTGGAGTTCATGTCACACAGTTTCAACCTGTAATACAACTGAAGTAATATAAGCGATGTCATACAATCACGATTACAGTGGTGACACACGAGCGACGTTCCTCAGACACGTGACGTACAATACGCACGAGTGATGTCACACAAACAACCACAGTGATGTCATACACGAGCGACGATATCACACTAACGCGCCCACAGTGATGCCACACACGAACGGCGTCCTTGCTTGAATACTGAAATAGATACATTCCATTGACTGTATTCTATTTCGTATTCTCAACCTGAAGATGTCTTGAATAAAGACGAAAGCTAAGGTGCTCCGTTGTTTCCCTTTTCCCGTGTGATTTTATCAAGATATATATATATATATATATATATATATATATATATATATATATATATATATATATATATATATATATATATATAACTCAATCCATTTTTTTGCATGTAGACAATTATCAAGTCGATTAGTGAAGAAAAAACATTAATTCCATTAGACTACCAATTTTTTTTTAATACCTGTAAGTGACTGACAAACCGAAACTGCCGCCATTTACATTGCAAGATAATCCAAAATCACAGCTGTGTCTATTAATTTACGAAAATAAAATATATAAGCAAATTAAAAAACAGAACAACTATATTTTTAGTTGTAATTGTTATTATACTTCAAATTTGCAATGAATATTAAGTTTTTGCTTACTCATACAAAATTATGAGTTTTTTTATAATTAAATTAATTCAGTTATTAAGTATACTACATAATACGTGCTGAATCAAGATGAATTAAGTGAACGTCCTTAATAGACAGATGATAAAACAGTTTGGACCAACAGCTGGAGGAGACCCGCGCTCTCTCCCACTAATTCAAAAGGTAAACATGATGGCCGCCCAGTGACCATAACAGTGAGGCGCATCCCGTGTAAAATTAGTTTCGAAGATGAAATTGTGTTTTTATTCTTAGCAGATAAGACAAAGTAAGTGTTGTTGATGTATTATATGAATCCCCCAGAGTAGCTAACTGATGAATCACCCCCAGAGTAGCTAACTGATGAATCACCCCAGAGTAGCTAACTGATGAATCTCCCCCAGAGTAGCTAACTGAAGAATCTCCCCCAGAGTAGCTAACTGATGAATCTCCCCAGAGTAGCTAACTGATGAATCACCCCAGAGTTGCTAACTGATGAATCACCCCAGAGTTGCTAACTGATGAATCACCCCAGAGTAGCTAACTGATGAATCTCCCCAGAGTAGCTAACTGAAGAATCTCTACAGAGTAGCTAACTGATGAATTCCCCAGAGTAGCTAACTGATGAATTCCCAGAGTTCTGAAGAATCTCCCCAACTAACTGATGAATCACCCCAGAGTAGCTAACTGATGAATCTCCCCAGAGTAGCTAACTGATGAATCTCCCCCAGAGTAGCTAACTGAAGAATCTCCCCCAGAGTAGCTAACTGATGAATCACCCCAGAGTTGCTAACTGATGAATCTCCCCCAGAGTAGCTAACTGATGAATCTCCCCCAGAGTAGCTAACTGAAGAATCTCCCCCAGAGTAGCTGCTAACTGATGAATCACCCCAGAGTAGCTAACTGATGAATCTCCCCAGAGTAGCTAACTGATGAATCTCCCCAGAGTAGCTAACTGAAGAATCTCCCCCAGAGTAGCTAACTGATGAATCACCCCAGAGTTGCTAACTGATGAATCTCCCCCAGAGTAGCTAACTGATGAATCTCCCCCAGAGTAGCTAACTGAAGAATCCCCCCAGAGTTGCTAACTGATGAATCTCCCCCAGAGTAGCTAACTGAAGAATCTCCCCCAGAGTAGCTAACTGATGAATCACCCCAGAGTTGCTAACTGATGAATCTCCCCCAGAGTAGCTAACTGATGAATCTCCCCCAGAGTAGCTAACTGAAGAATCTCCCCCAGAGTAGCTAACTGATGAATCTCCCCCAGAGTAGCTAACTGAAGAATCTCCCCCAGAGTAGCTAACTGATGAATCACCCCAGAGTTGCTAACTGATGATCTCAAGCAGTTATATTCTTACATACTTTAAATGCAGCATTAAAGTGAGCCAGAACTTAGTATCGTTAACAGTTATATTGGGGTTTATTTGTGATATATCAGTATTAATTATGGTATTATTGCGTTTACACACCGTTCATTTCTACCACTAATCTATTATCATATTCGAATAAGACGTCTAATTATATGATCATTTTCATCTACTACTGTACATTACCGGTGGAAATGTATGATAACGGAGATAGCGTATCCAAAATTTTCTCTATTTTTTCTTCCATTAATCTTCCTCTATTATCGCCTACCTCACCTCCCTCACTGCGTGTCTCCTTCATAAATCATCACACTCATGCGTTCACGTACACTTCACACGGCCAATCAAAAGCGTTTTTGTTTTGCAACCAATTAAAATGATTTTGGGTTTAATTTGCAGTATATTTGGCCCGATCAAATTCGAGTTTTATTTTTGGTCTCTCATATTTCGAAATTCAAGTTCAGTTCCGACCATGGAAGTCTGCGATGGGTGTCACTTAAATTATATGGAGCTGATTGCGAGTTTTTTAGAAAAAAACGAAGAAACTATAGCATTTTTTCGATCGCATGGTGTTCTTCCAACCTCAGTAAAGTGTACTAAGAGCAAGACAATGTAAATATCGCAAAGACCAACATATGTGGCGTTGTGTAAGAATCTTAGAATCCAACGACGAACAAAAACCAGGCCAATAAGGTAAGAAATAGGTGATTCCATCATATGGTGAGAGTCAGTTAGGTTAGGTTAGGTTTTTGTTTTTCTAGTGTTTTTTGGGTGTATTTTGCCATGATTTTTTTTTTTTTTTCGGAAAACTTCCAACGAAAAAAATTTGATAAAAAAAAAGGTTAATTTCCGCCAGAAATGAAGGTCATATTCGGTCTAAACACACACAAATACAATAGAAAAATATATTTTTTGCTTTCTAACAGAGAACGGTGTGACAATGCAAATTTACCCTAATTATGGATGAGCCAATGAGCTGCAAGGGGATGGGGCATGTACCGTCAGCTTAAAAAAACTAGTACCTACTGTATAGCATAGTCAGGTGGAGCAGGCATGATGCTATCTCAGCAATGGTGAGGAATATATTCATGAATTATAGTGCACAGTCCAGTGCTGCTTATCTTTAAACAATTTTAAAACATAGTACTGTACAATAATGTACAATACTGTACAGTATATCTGATTTGGGGAGATGTGTCACATGGAGTGAGTTGAAAGTATGGCTGGTGTGGGAGTCTGGATAATTAATGATCTCACTTATCTCAGGGGTGATGCTCAGGTATGCAAATAGAATCCTCTTTTTGAGTAGTTACTGTATATCTTTTCTTACCTCTGCTGTGTGGAATAAGTAATATCCCTGTAAGGTGGTGGTGGATCCTTACAGCTGGCTACCATAAGTTAGGTTGTAGCAGTAGAAGCAACAGAACAAACAAGTACCTGGTAAGTTACTTAGTGTATCTTAGCTACACCTTCATACCTTGTGCTCCCTTGGTGTGGTCTCAGTTGGTTTTAATAGCACCAAGGTGTTCTCCCCAGAAAGTCACCTCAGTAAATTGCAATGAATTTCCCTTTGCAGTATTTGCATTTTTCTCACTGTTACATTCCAAGTCCTTAGTTTGATCCAGTTGGAGTTCGGTAAAGCAAGTTCTGTACAATTTCAAGACCTTTCTGGCTGTGGCTTCTACTTGAAGATGATTTTAGGATTACATGTATACTCTTTCTGCAGATTTGAACTTAAGATGAACTTCAGATCCAGTGAAAATTCCCAAGTAGGTGATGTTGAAAGTAGTGAGAAGGAGGGAGGTGGAGGTGGACAGTGCACCTCCACTTCACAGATCACCCGACGCCCCCTGCAGCAACTCACCTTTCCCACTACATCTTCGCCTCTTTCACAGTCTTCACTGACACCCTATAAGTGAGTTTTTCTCAACAGTTGTGGTTACAATAACATATTGCATTTTATTTTTAAAGAAATATTAAAAAGTAAACAGTGTACTGCATTAAATACTTTATTATAAGTAAAATGATCTTTAATACTGTAATAATAATGAAGAGGTAATTTGATTAATGCTTCGGATGTGTTCCTGAAAACCAAACTCAAATCAAAACAGCGAAGCAATTATAGCATGGCTCCTATGGTGATTTGGGCTGAACAGCACCATTGCTCACCTATGAGACTTTCATTGTGATATTGTTACAGTTATAGCTCAAATAATGATTGTGTGCACATCACAAATGTTTAAAATCAATATGTAAATAAATACTATATTTTTAAACATAATGACAAAAATACAATAAGTTATGGTACTGTACTTAGGTAGCAATGTACAGTTATGTATTCAGTGAAAGCAGCATGAGACAGCAGTGGTTAATGATGTGGGAAGAGCTGTGAGGGTGGATGCTTCTTCTTGGTGAAGGGATTGTGTGTCAATTGGGCTCACAAAAATATGCAAATAAGGACAAATATAGTTACTACTACACTATAAACATGAGGAAAACATTCATAACTGGTGGAGCAAGGCACTGATTGGCTAAGTAATCATTAGCATGCACTTTTCTCGTTGACTGAGTTAGCCAACGAGATGTGTGTGTTGCCTGTTTTGGAATGGGATTTTTGAAATGCTGAATAATTATTAGTCCTTTTTTTAGCAGAAATATAGAGAGAGAGAGAATGTTATAACTAAATAGCACTAAACAGTGGAGCATTAATCAAGGTCTGCCCAATAAAACTAACATTAACCTTTGATAAAGTCAGTGTTGCCAACATAGCCTATACCATGTACTGAACAGTAATTACTGTAGTATAACTCTGGACTCCAGATCCAAGAGATATAAATTACCTCTTTATGTGAGATAGTGAATGGGGCATCATTTATATTGGTGTGCTCTGACACTAATGCTCACTAAACCCTTCTTATCTGTGTAATCTTTGAAAAAAATATTCAGGTGATACAAAACTAATTCCTTTATAACTTTTTCTACAGTACAGTATTTAGAAAATCAGTACAGTATGTTTTTTTTTTTTTACTCAACCAGTTGTTTATTTTTTATTATCTCAGCATTGTATTGTTCTGCATTCATTTATTTTTATTTTTTATTTAACTTTTTTTTTTCTCATCCCAGATACCACAGATGTAAAATTATCCCAGAGGAGATGGAGGACCAGGAGAACATGAACCCTCATCTCAAGCAACAGAGGAACAAGAGTTCACAATTAAACAGCAAGTGTGTACAGTACAGTATTGTGGAGAGGATGGTATTACTTGTACATGTAGGTGCTGTTCTTGATGAGGAGCTGTGTGGTTTATCCTAAGAATGTGGGCAGGACTGTAAATTGAATGATCACATTGCATATTTCAAGATTAAGAATTGCAATATGTCTGAGTTCGTTACCGTACTTTATGATAACCTGCCTTTTTGTGTGTGTTCTCTTATGGGACAAAGGATTTGGTATGGATATGAAGCATTAATTTCTACCCAGCACGATACATACTCGTACATTAACATATCTTAATGGGTTTCTTGTTATATTGAAGTATCTACAGTAGTATGCCATACAAGGACTACTCCCCCAAATTCTACCCTCAACTCTATCTGTTGCTGATATGGCCAGCAGGCATACCGACTTATGATGATGCACTGGGGATCATTTCAAAGCATTTCGTCTTCCGTTTCAAATTGTAGCGACTTTTTTGAGGACTGTGCAACAACAATTAAAACAAAAATTGGTCAAGCAAAAATTTCATTTAGTGCTACTGCCTATATAAGAGTTCTTTTAAAAAGGACATGAACTATAAAGAAATAAGTAGCCGAAATTAATTATAAAAATGATGAGTACAGTTGTACGTGTTAGAAGTGTGGACTTTGTCAGCAGACACCAGAAGGATGCTGACGACCTTCAAAATGTGATGTTACTGGAGAATGCTAAAGATGTACTACCTGTATAAACAAAAATAAATAAAGAATATTAAAACCGCTTAGAAAAATGAGAGAAATATTGGACTGTTATAGAGGGTAGGAGGGCCAGGGGAAGCCGGAGCCTGGGATGAATGGTTAAAAAGGCAACCATAAAATGTTTGGAGTATAGTAGAGGGTCATGGTTGCCAACCCTCAGACCTGAAAATAGTACCTACTGTATGTTGTTTGACCAATTGGTTGTTATAGTGTGTGGCTGTAAACATTATGAAACAGATAAACATTGAGCTTGGACACTTGGTGATAACTTCAGTAAGCTATCTCAAAGCGGAATGGAACTAAGCAGGCTGCAGTATCAGCTTTACCTGTCCTTGATTGGAGCATCCTCAATGGTACATTTTTCCATGTAAGGAAAAAAAAATATTCAGATTAAACTATGTAGAATGTGAAAGATTTTACTTTGCATATATATATATTTTTTTTTATAAATATAACATACTAGTATTATGTATTAAACTTTTATGATCTCTTTTTGTAATGTTCAGGAGATTAATAATTAAGATATACAGAAGCTATGGATCATCCCATGTAGCACTTGTTTGGATAGTCTTAATGGATCATAGTCAAAGAAAATAGCTTGCATATTTTAGTTTGAATTTAAGTGAAGTTATAAGATTCATGTACTGTACAATTTTTCTGCAACACTGTTAATATTATCCTAACTTTACATCTATTTTCAGGCCTCAAGGAACTTCTTCTGATGAAAATAACGATTCTTCACCTTTTGCTTACCCTCTCATATGGGAATCTTACCACACCTCTTCATCCTCTCCCTTGTCACAGAGTCCTTCTAACCTCAAAAATACACCTTCTTTAGATGGTAGTCATTGCCAAGAGAACACCAAAAGCCATTCCAGTGACAGTGGAAGAGTGTACAGTGTAGGCAACAGTATCCATGATGGTCTTTCTAATAAGAGAATACCAAGTACCAAAAGCACTGTTCATGAAGATCGTACTAAAGATAAAAACGTAGATAAGGAAGGAAGTCGAACTACAAAAATGAGAAATAAAAGTGGGTCTAACGGAGAGAGCTCAAGTAGCAGGTGCCAGTGTCATCAAAGCCTGACTGTCACTCCCTCCAAGTCTTCATCATCATCTTCATTATCTGACAGATCAGTATTCCGTACACCATCAGAGAGGTTTTCCAGGTGAGCTACTTGGAACTGAAGCTTGTTCAAAGATCAGGTTTTTTTTTCACTATGCCAATATAACACTATAGACTTTTGGTTTAATAAAAATGAGAACAATAATGCTAATACTGTAAACTGTAATGCCATAATTATACTTATTAAGTTTTGCACGTACTATACCGTATGTTTTGTAAGTAACGTTTCAGAAGCTGTATCCTGTACTGTACTGTACTGTACTTAGAAAATGCTTACATTACATTTTTATGTGATGATTTATAAGGCGAGTTCTAGATGAATACATTCTGAGATTCATTGAGAAAATGTAATGGTGATAATAATGGTAAGAAATGAGGAGCAGGACAATACAGTAATTGAATAGGTAACCAGGAACATATAAGAAGACTTGGTAAATAAAATTGCTTGTGAGCAGTAGGTGGAAGATGTACTGTAGGCCTGGTTTGTTGTAGATTGCTTGAGGTAAAACTGAGTATGAAAACAATTACGGTTAAGTTATCGTTGAAAATTTCACAAGACAGCCTAAAGAATAATAATAAAAATAATGTGTTTAGAGGAAATTCCAATGGATAGTGTAAGATAGGCAGGTTGATACAGATAATATTGTATGCACTGTACTGGTAAATATTTCAAATACATTATCACATACAGCAGCAAGTTGAGTGACTCCCGAGGACCCCAGACACCTCAGCGTAGAAGAGTTGATCATCACCACAGTCAAAACCCTTTTGAAGTTGGAGCAGAGTGCCTTCAGCTGCCTGCTGTGAGTCCCTCTCTCTTTCGCCAAGTTGTATCACCAAGTCAAAAGGCAGACAGCAAATTCCGTTGGTCAATTGATCAGCTGGCAGTGCTGCACCCAGCAAATATCGAAACTTCCCCTTTTAACCAAGCAGATATTTTGACTGACCCTGATTATGAACGCCAAGCTCAAGATGCCATAGATAAGTGAGTTTCTACAGTATACTGTACAATATTTCACAGTACATATCTGAATTGTTAATTTTAGATTAGTGTCTGTACTGTACAGTATCTTAATGGATTTTTTCAAACATGATTGTCACATAATTGTCAACAGAGTTTTCATTCATGTTGTTATGGAACCACATGAGAAGTCTACATTTATCATGAATTTTGACCATGAATGAAAATTAATTCTAAAAGAGGCTTACCTCCACCTACCTCAACTCAGATCTTTCTCTTACAGTAACTATTAGATACTGTACTTAACTGAAATTCTTAAGATGAAGGGAGTGTGAATCCTTGTTATCTTGAATACAGTGTTAAGTGTGGTTGTTACGCTGTTGATAACGAGAGCGTGTGTGTGTAAAACCGAGTTGTCCTCTTCCAAATGTAGTCTGTCTCTCATGGTGGTTTAACTCATTCTGCCAATGACTAGAGCAAACCCCAGCACCTAGTGACTCACCATGTACCTTGTATTATCACATTCAATTTACAAGATCATATGAGGCCACTGCAGTAGTAAGGGCACAAGTAACATTTTTTTTTTTAATTTGTAGAGAAAGGGGTGATAAAAGTTTGGTAAACCTTATAACGTGAATATCATTGGCACCAACCAACCAACCATGCAATTTATCTAACCATGAACCGTATGGTTGGTTCCAAAGACATTCACGTATTAATGTTTACCAAACTTTAATCACAATTTTCTCGATTTATAAAAAATGTCATTTGTGCCTTTACTACTGAGGTGGCCTCATATATAACATTGCCAGACTGAGTACTGTTTCATAAAATTAGTACCAGTATTTACAACACAATTACTGTATCATACAGTTTATACTTATTTATTACAACTGTTCAACTCCTCTCAATCTAATGAACAAATTTGATGTCTACTGTATATACTACACTCATCAGATTAATAATTGATAACTAATAATTCATCACCATTATTTATACTTTATACAAGTTAATTAATGAATACAGTACAGTACTGTATATAAAATATATAGAGAAATCAATGACAAAGCCGTCAACAATGAATTATTACCAAAAATCAACCGCACACACCGATGCATCACAGAGCTCCTGTGGGCAAATTGTTGGTTAAAATATTTCAAGTCATTGTAACAAATAGCAGGTTTTTTGTTCCTTAATTTCTCTTTCTATTTAAATGTTTTATTCTACTTTCAATCAATCATATTTCATTCTTTATATTATTTCTCTTGCCTTCTTTCTTCTTACTTAAAGAGAGGGAGGTGTAGGAGGTACGAATGTGTGAGGGAGGAGGAGTGTGAGGGGAGTGAAGAAAGTGGGGGTTGCCTGAGGTCAGTTTCCCCCACCAGCGGGTCAGCCTAATGACCAAGGGGAGCGGATGAGTGAGGGATATGATAACTGGAGGGAATGGGGAATATGCATGCAATATCTCAGATACTAGGGGGAAATATGTGATAGTTGTGTTGATACTCATGACTCACTGTATCACAACATAACACAAAAACATTTATAATGATATTCTACTCAATACAAAGAGGAGGGAATTGATGACACTTCTTAATGGTTACTGTACAGTATTTATTTATGCTTTTAAGATTAACAATTACACTTCAAAACAACCTACACTTCCAGCTATCTTCACAAAAAACATCATGTAAAGGGAGTTTACTATAGGGTACACTTACTGTACTTATATCTCGCCATGTTAAAGCCACTGACCCCACACACTCTTTTAACACCTCCAAACACAGACTCTGGTGATTTGAAATCGGGGCACTTGTCGCTGGGTATGGTGATGCTAGGTTTCAGTCAATCAGCACTAAGGTGCAGGCAAACACAGGAACTGCAGGTTTGGGCGGGAACACTGTCGTTTCTAGTTGGTGTTACGGTGGGATCTTTTGTCTCTAACTGAATTCACGTACAAGAACTCTGTAACATGACATTAATTACTCTAAGAACATGGTATTATTACATCATACTGTAGACTCTCGATGAAATATTCATAAATATTTTTCACAACATTTATGGACAGAAGCGTAATAAGACCAAGGAACTGGCCCTAATATTAATATCATTGTTTTGAATATGTCTGCTTGCCAAAAAATAAAGAAACTGATCTCTATTTTTAATAAACTATATGGATAATGTAACATTTGTGTTTAGCTAATATTCCGACTTATTTCCATGTACTGTATTGTAATTATTATATCCTGTGTATTTCATGCATTTCATGTTAAGAGTTGTATTGTAATTTATTGCATGTGTTAAAATTTACATCACATTAGTAGACTATTGGTTCGACCTAATGGATCCAATTGTACACAGTTCATGTGAAAAAGTCGGAACATCTCGTATCATTCTAGCTTACATTGGTTGACCAATTATCTTCTTCCATGAGCTTTAGGCCACTTGGAATCCAGGAAGCTTATAGCTAATTAGAATTCTTTGTTGCTCTATTTAAAAATCAATTGGGCACACTCACACCAGGAGACTCACCTCAACACCTCCACTGTTCACACATTACTCTAGTGGACCTTATTTACTGCTAAGTATCTTGCCATCTTTGTCTCTTTTTATATTGGGTAACATAACCACAGCCATTGTTCTAGATGTGAGAATATTGTCTCGCCTCTCATGTTCCCACATGACTAGTGGTAAATACTTTTCCCTGTGCACTTGTGATCATTCCTCTGGTAAACCACACACTCACACTCACACACACACACACACACACACACACACACACACACACACACATGCATACATACATACTGCACATACATACATACATACATACATACATACAGTGAGTTCTGCTATAACGCGTGTTTTGATAACGCGAATTTGCTCTAACGCGATTTATGAATTCGGAACAATATTTGTATAACGCGATCGCTTGTTTGCTATAACGCGATTTTTGCTTACTATTTCTCCAATTTTGTGGTATTAACTGTGAATATGGTGAAGAAGAATATCTCCAAAAAGCATTCTGATGATAGAATTCCCGGTGATTATCGTAAAAGAAAGGATATAACACTTGAAGAGAAGCTTGATGTTATCAACCTCAAAATCACCCTTCTCCCCCATCAAGTTACATTCATATTTTTTCAAGGTAAAGTGTTAAATTTACTGTATGATTTCATTATTAGATATGAATGTAACATTTATTTAGACTGTGCTATCCTTTGTGTTAGGCTAACTACTAAATTTTTTCGATTTCGAGTAAACTGCACCTAACCCTATTTTCTCCATAAGCCCTGTTATTTCTATTACGCGATTTTCTATAACACGATATTTTACAAGAACACAATTATCGCGTTATAGCAGAACTACCTGTACATACATACATTCCATGCTCGCAGCCATAGACAAGGACGTCATAAACAGAAGCCCATTAGGACCATCACCTCCACTAGAAAAGAAGAGAAACCTACTCCTGACAGACTGTACCAATACACTGAAGTTTCCCGTATATGGTATGGTCTCCCCTCCTGACTGCTTTCAAACGTCACTTCCTTAGCTAATAAATTTGATGAACCAGCAACCACAGTCCAATCAGTCGCTGCCAAATGTGAAGCTTGGCAAATTGTTCCTGAAACGTACCACATCTTTCATCACCTTCGTTCACATGGACGTGAAGGGGGGCTTTGCCCTCTTCTATCAAGATGAACTATGCCTGTCATGCCTGGATGTTTTAGTCCCAGCGGATGTGGAGGCATTGTGGGTACGTGTTGTGCCACCTGCCAACCCACGCCACACTGCTTCTATCATATACTGTGTGGCATAACATCCACCTCGCTTACCCACCAGAGACACTCTTATCATTCATCTCATTACCACCTCAAGAGTTAGATGCCCATGTGCCAAGCTAGTACTCAGTTGGGATTATAACAAAATTGACACTACTGATATCCAGGGCCAGCTGCTACTATCACAAGTTGTGAACTTCCCCACACACTGTCAAAATACCCTTGAGCTTATCTTAACTGATTTCGCGGACCAGTACCAATCACCTCAACCAATGCCTCCTATTGGGTGTAGCACACACCTGTCAGTGTTCTGTTCTCCAGCCAAGTACAGAGACCCTACATCAAGACCTACAGGCCAATTATTGACTCTGCAGTGTGTCTCTTCGGGCAGTAGATAGTTCATCATCCCTGGACTGAAGTACTTAGTGTGGATGACGTGGACACCAAATGGATAAATTATACCAACACCACTATGGAAGCTCACCACCACTTCTTCCCCAAGAAGTCTGTCAGATTACACCCAGCTGACTTACCCTGGATTACACCTTGGATCAAAAGACTTGCAGCAGAGAGACAGTGCCTCTTATCTCAATGACCACAACTGCTACAGGTCCCTTCGTAACCAAGTCATCCGTGAAATATGCACTGCAAAGAAGTCCCACTACCCAACCAAGTTGCAACACCTGAAGCAGACCAACATCAGTCAGTGGTATGGTAAGCTTAAAGAACTCTATGGACTAAACAATAAGACACACCCCCTCCCCTTCCTTAGCCATCTCACTTATGGTGACGCAGCTGAGCAATCAAACAACCAGTTCGCAACTATATATCAGACGCTCCCCCGGCTTGACACAACCAGTCTCCCTGCTTACCTACCAGCCCCCTTTCCCACTGACTCAGTAGAAGAATTTGAAGTAGCAAAACGTCTGGACAAACTGAAGTTAAAGCCCTCCACCACCCCCATTGACTTACCAATGAGACTCTACAAGGAGTTCTCCCCGGAACTAGCTAAACCCCTCTGCTCCATCATCAATGCTTCCCTCAGCCAAGAAAGATGCCCAGCTGATTGTAAGACCTCATATGTGTCACCAATGCCCAAGTCAACCAGCCCACAATCCTTAAATGAGCTACGACCCATTGCCATTACCCCAACACCCAGCTTATTCTGAGAAAGTTTTGTGTTTGACTGGGCTTATGCTGATATTGCAGGTGCCATAGATCCTCAGCAATTTGGCAATATGAAAACTTCTTCCACCACTCACTGTCTTGTCAGCTTTCTCGACTACATATACCTCCATCTGGAAAAACAGAAAACGTCTGTGGTTGTCGCCTTCATTGACTTCACCAAAGCATTTGACTTAGTTGACCACAATTTAATGAACAAAGCTATCGACCTCAGGTTTCGAAGAAGTCTTATACCATGGCTTACAGACTTCCTTAGTGACCGACGCCAAGCTGTATGCTTCCAAGGGGCTGTCTCCACTTTTCAGTCACTCACCTGTGGTGTCCCCCAAGACACCAAGATGGGACCACTCTGCTTCCTTATGCTTATCAACAATGCCCTGAGAGAAACCTCTCCTCGCTGGAAATATGTCAATGACTCCACCATTGAGATCAGTGTCAACAACTCGTCTCCCAACTACACCACCCTCCAGGATTTATTGAACTGTCTCCAAAATTGGGCCACTAACAACCATGTCACCGTCAACCATACCAAGACCATTACATTGGACCCCAACACACTCCAGTTTGTGGACTCCACTAAGCTCCTTGGCGTCACTATAGATAACAAACTAAATTGGAAAACACATCATATCAGTAAAGTTGTCAAATTCTCCAATTTTCGTCTCTACCTCTTCCACCGACTCAAGTCCCTCGGAGTTCCTGCGCCCTAGCTCCTCAGTGTTCACTTAACATTCATACTTCCCAAGGTCACCTATGCCTCCCCTACCTGGTCTTCCTTCCTAAATGCCACACAACGTAAACACCTAGAAAAGGTGCAAAAGAGGGCCTGCAGAATTATTCTCTCCCCTTCCTACTCCACATATCAAGAAGCGCTCAGCACACTGACCCTCTCGGCGCTCTCTGACCATCACCACGACCTCATCTGTAAATTTGGTGAGAAGTTTCTGCACCATCCTCAACACCGGCTTCTACTTCCACCTGAGATCTCTCATCCGCCAATTGCTGTCCAACACCACAACCGCATCCAGCCCATACGAGCACGCACTGATCGCTATAAGAACAGCCCAGTCCCACCCATTGTAAAAATTATCAACAAATTGTTTTCAACCAGTGTGTTCACTCCCAGTCAATCTTACCTCTTTGCACTGTGACTATGTTGAAATGCCCTGCAGTATGAACTTCTCCCCTCCTAGTTATATATCACATTTGTATCACTAATGTTACTTGTATATTATTTGTCAATCAAGTGATCCATTCCAAAATTACGTAACTGTATATCTTCAGCCTTCCGGCTACCATGCTCTTTCAATAACTCATTTATTATTATTATTATTATTATTATTATTATTAATACTGACTACTGTCTGCAATTATATTTTCAGGTTCTTCACTCTTCAATCAGTAGTGCCAAGCCCATGGACTGGAAGCAACAAGGCAGTGAATCTCCTGCACATGGTGTGCACACCAGTTCAGCCTGCCTCTAGTCATCCAACACCTCGCACTAACACTGGTGTGTATTATTGTAATCATCATCTGGTTTTGAAAGATCCTCTGAGAATATTTTTTGTATTCTGACCAGTATCATGGGCATTTTGAGGCCATTTTCAAGACCATGTGCACTTGATATTAGGGGATATTCTGAGGACAGTAGTAATTACTTTTTACTATACAAAAATGCCTGAGTACAGTACTGCATTAAAGAAAAGTATTGGAATATTCTGATAAAAAGGTGGGTCTTGACCTCCAGGACCCACCCCTGCATGCCATGACTTGATGACACTATGGAGTAGTTGGTGGGGTTTTCTGCAGTTCTGGATTTTACCTTTAATATAATATTGACAGTTTTTCACATTACACTCTTTTATAATGTGTGTGTATGGTGGTCAGCTTTTCTGTGTCTAGATCACTGTATCTGTGAATGGTCTGGCCCTGTGGTCTGTCACTTCTAAACCCACAGATAGTATTCTATGATTTCAGAGGCTGGCAAACTAGGACAATATTTAGGACTATTTCTCTTTTTCTTGTTCTGCCTTCTTATATGGCAACCCTTGTTCTCCTGCTGAACACATCATCTTTATCATCAAGGTTTATGATACCCTCCATATGCATGTTCCAACTGAGTGAAACTTCCACATAAAAAAATGGTTCCAACACCTTAACCTCATGTCTAACATTGCAGGGTTGAGCTGTTAAAATTGAATAACCCCAGTTGCAATAATTTACATTGCTGTACTCTCATTTGTGTCGTAAGATGTCTTTTTCCAGTACAGTACAGTACGTCCTCGTATAACGTCGCCCCGCTTAACGTTGTTTTGGTACTACGTTGTTCTTCTTTAGATACCAATAATTCGTTTAATGTCCCAATGATTCAACTTAACGTCGTTTTGCGTCGTCGCGGACTAATTTTTACGGCTCATGACCCTCTCTCATCTCTCCGGTCTACCTCTCACTTGCGGAACATCACAGCGTCCCCAAGCGACGCCAAACCAGTCTCTGTTACGCTTCCACATCATTCGTGTGTGCTTAAGTGTTTTTGCTCAAAATACTGTACTCTAACCACTCAAAATGGCTTCCAAGCACCTATCAAGTGCTACCGATGCTAGTGTTGTGAAGAAGCGACATAAGACCATTAGCCTTGCTACGAAAATGGAGGTTTTAAACCGGGAGGAGGAGCCACCCACCGGGTCTCAGTGACTCGCCACCCTCCTCCTCCTCCTCCGCTCCACTACCCACCACACTATCGCTCCACCACCTCCGTCCATCAGTGAGTACAATTAAAAATTATTTAATTTATATATATATATATATATATATATATATATATATATATCTTGATAAAATCACACGGAAAATGGAAACAACGGAGTACCTTAGCTCATCCTTTTCAAGACATCTTCAGAGGCAACTAGATTACATGGACAGAGAGGCTTAAATATACAGGGTGACCTAAAAACATGAGGTCAGGTCAGCTAAGGTACTCCGTTGTTTCTGATATCCAGTATCTTATCCACGTTTTCATTATTAAATTTACATGAAATATATATATATATATATATATATATATATATATATATATATATATATATATATATATATATATATATATATATATATATATATATATATATATATATATATATATATATATATATATATATATATATATATATATATATATATATATATATATATATATATATATATACAGAGTAGTTCTGCTATTAACGATAATTGTGTTCTTGTAAAATATCGTGTTATAGAAAATCGCTAATAGAAATAACAGGGCTTATGGAGAAAATAGGGTTAGGTGCAGTTTACTCAAAATCGAAAAATTTAGTAGTTAGCCTAACACAAAGGATAGCACAGTCTAAATAAATGTTACATTCATATCTAATAATGAAATCATACAGTAAATTTAACACTTTACCTTGAAAAAATATGAATGTAACAACTACGATAATCACCGGGAATTCTATCATCAGAATGCTTTTTGGAGATATTCTTCTTTACCATATTCACAGTTAATACCACAAAATTGGAGAAATAGTAAGCAAAAATCGCGTTATAGCAAACAAGCGTCACGTTATACAAATATTGTTCAATTCATAAATCGGCGTTAGAGCAATTAGCGATATCAAAACACGCCATATAGCAGAACTCACTGTATATATATATATATATATATATATATATATATATATATATATATATATATATATATACAAGTAAATCACTGTAGGTGCGCGTGATCTAGGTATATGCTGATAACCACAAGGAAAGAAGAAAACAAGTTCCCAAGCGCTTTTCTGGAATTCACATCTTCAGGGGTGAGTACAAAGCGCTAGAGACTCTGTTATCAGCATATCTATATATATATATATATATATATATATATATATATATATATATATATATAATATATATATATATATATATATATATATATATATATATATATATATATATATATATATATATATATATAGTTTATTATATATATATATATATACAGTATTACCCCGCCTAACGCGGTTTCACTTAACGCGTTTTATCATATACGCGGTGCCTCGCCAGAGCTGAACTTTCACTTAACACGGATTTTTTCCACATATACGCGGTGAATGTCCGGCTCGAGACGCTATTTTTTAGATTTGCCCCACCCGCCACCCTGCCTGACTGCCTGTTTTAGCTCATAAAATTCATACAAATTACCCGGCCAGAATATAATTTACATTGCTGGAATTCTTATAATTTGGTGATCATTTTGAATATACACATCATATATTTTGCATTAGACATACAAATTTTAGATAACATTTTTTCTCTGGGTAACTATGTTATCTTTTGTGCAAAATATATGACATTTATATTCAAAATATTCCTGGTCTTACAAGGAATCCAGCAATGTCAATCATATTATCCTAACTTTAGTTTGAGGTATTATTTATTACAAAAAAGTTAAGTATTCTGGTTTTCCCACACATCTCCTTGGGACGGTTGATGGAGGGTGGGGGGGAGGGAGGGACCGACCGACCATCTGTTACCCCGTGAAGAATATATATATTTCTTTATTAACTGAAGATATTTGTTTTAGCTCATAAAATTCATACAAATTGCCCGGTCAGAATATAATTTACATTGCTGGAATTCTTATAATTTGATGATCATTTTGAATATAAACATCATATATTTTGCATTAGACATAAAATTTTTAGATAAAATGTTTAATCTGAGTAAGAATGTTATCTTTTGTGCAAAATATATGACGTTTATATTCAAAATATTCCTGGTCTTACAAGGAATCCAGCAATGTCAATTATATTATCCTAACTTTAATCTGAGGTATTATTTAATACAAAATGTTAAAATCTCAATTTTTCACCCACTCTTCTCTTGAAGGGATGATTGGTGGGGGGTGGGGGGGAGGGTTGGGACTGACCGCGCGGTTGGAAGAGGGGGGAAGGCAAGGTGGGGTACTTTCATTGACATATAGTGTCCTGATGATTATTTTTTTTTTATTAACTGAAGATATTTGTTTTAGCTCATAAAATTCATACAAATTACCCGGCCAGAATATAATTTACATTGCTGGAATTCTTATAATTTGGTGATCATTTTGAATATAAACATCATATATTTTGCATTAGACATACAAATTTTAGATAAAAAAAATTTCTGAGTAACTATGTTATCTTTTGTGCAAAATATATGACATTTATATTCAAAATATTCCTGGTCTTACAAGGAATCCAGCAATGTCAATTGTATTATCCTAACTTTAGTTTGAGGTATTATTTATTAAAATTTAGTGGTTTTCCCCCAAAAATTTCTCAGAGAGGGAAGAGCCGGCAGTGTAGTGTGAGAGGGGAGGGAGTTGAGTCCATTATTTGAATGGACATTAACTTGGCGACTGTATTTCTCTATTTCTCTTAAGTATTAATTGTGTGCATGTACCATCATAAAATTAAGATGTTATTTTTACTACAACATAGTTATGTGTCTTCAAAAAGTGGAGTTTGGGGGTCGGGCTGGTTTCTATTGGAATTAATCCCATATGTTCTGTTGTTCACTTAACGAGGATTTCACTTAACACGGGACCCTCTGGGTTCTATTGACAGCGTTAAGTGGGGTACAACTGTATATTATATATATATATATATATATATATATATATATATATATATATATATATATATATATATATATATATATATATATATATATATATATATATATATATATACATATATATATATATATATATATATATATATACTATATATATATATATATATATATATATATATATATACATATATATATATATATATATATATATACACATATATATATATATATATATATATATATATATATATATATATATATATATATATATATATATATATATATATATATATATATATATATATATATATATATATATATATATACAGTATATATATATATATATATATATATATATATATATATATATTATATATATATACAGGTAGTTTGTGTTCTTGTAAAACATCGTGTTATAGAAATTCGCATAATAGAAATAACAGGGCTTATGGAGAAAATAGGGTTAGGTGCAGATTACTCGAAATCGAAAAAATTTAGTAGTTAGCCTAACACAAAGGATAGCACAGTCTAAATAAATGTTACATTCATATCTAATAATGAAATCATACAGTAAATTTAACACTTTACCTTGAAAAAATATGAATGTAACTTGATGTGGGAGAAGGGTGATTTTGAGGTTGATAACATCAAGCTTCTCTTCAAGTGTTATATCCTTTCTTTTACGATAATCACCGGGAATTCTATCATCAGAATGCTTTTTGGAGATATTCCTCTTTACCATATTCACAGTTAATACCACAAAATTGGAGAAATAGTAAGCAAAAATCGCGTTATAGCAAACAAGCGATCGCGTTATACAAATATTGTTCCGAATTCATAAATCGCGTTAGAGCAAATTCGCGTTATCAAAACACGCGTTATAGCAGAACTCACTGTACATATATATATACATATATATATATATATACATATATACAGTGGTCCCTCGGTTAACGATTTACCTTCCATAAGATTCTTAACTTCGGTTAACGAGCAATCCCTCGATTAACGAGTTTTTTTACGAGCCGACTTCAACATGTTTTCGCTTGCATTTGGCGGTCCACCAGCTGTAGTATTAGTCCGCCAATACAGTAATCGGTTTTAGGGCTTAAATTCCTTACTATTTTAGTAAATATCAAGAAGTTTATATTAATCAATATTTTTATAAGTTTAATATTAACTTTTTTAGTCATTTTAACAATTATTGAACATAATTGAAGGTAAAGAATCTAGTTTCTGGCGTGCCATCCAGCCTGTTAACACACCAGACAGGCGTTAGTCTCTCTCTGTTTTCAGTGGAGGTAACATCTTGCTTGAGACTCTCTTCAATTAAATGCTTTTTTCTGTGTTTCCAAGCAAATTATTGGTCATTTTGAAATATATTTTACATATTGACATATAATGCAGTGCAGTGTTGATTTAAAGAAAATAATCTTGAAATACACCAAGAGAACTAAAATTTTATGGGTGAAATGGTGCCATGGGGTGACTTCTCTTCCACCCCATCCTCCACCCCCATTCTAATTCCCATCATCATCATCATCATCATCATCCAGGAGCCTTCTACATACACACCTCAAAGTAAGTGTACTTTTCTACCTTTTTTGTTGAATTTAGGCAATTTTCGGTGAGCTGGAACCAATTACCCAAAAACCCATTGAAACAATGGTTTCGGTTAACGAGTTTTTCAGTTAACGAGCAACCTGCTGGAACGGATTGTGCTCGTTAACCGAGGGACCACTGTATATATTATTTTCTATAAAAATGTGATTGAATTTTTGTATATGTAATGTATTTCATGGGGCAAAGGGAGGCTCAGGAACGTAACTCCAATAATTTATCTATTTCTTATGGGGAAAATTGATCCGCTTAACGTTTCGTATAACGTCTCGTTTTCAGGAACGTAACCCCGATGTTAGGGGAGGACTTACTGTACGTATTTATGAAATTGTGTTATATTTCCTTTACTATTTTATGTGTACCTGTAATTTACATTTTTGTATATAAAAATATGCATTAACATTAATTTTATAGACGAGAAAGAGATGATAACATTAACAAGGTATGAGCATTTATCAATACCCTGTAAAATAATATTCTCAACAAACCAGGACTTCTGAAGATCTGGTGCTGCATTACCTTGGTTCCGAGGATTCTTGGTATTAAAGAGTTTATTGAACTACCTGTACCTATGATAATGTTTCTCTTAAACCTTGTATTTTTCTGCCCTTACAGTATGGTGTCAGACTGAACTGACTTTGCCACCTGTATTACCAGAAGCAGTGGAGGAAGCATTAAAGCCATTCTGTACATTCACTCAAGTTAGTCTCAATGATTTGTTTTTCTTGAATGATTTATTCCTTATTAATTTGTTAATCACTTATTGTCTAAGTACACTGGCCATTCTCCTGTGAATATTGAATACAGTATATAATTTTAGAGGGCTGCAGCAAGTTAATATGTTCATACACTATATTGTTTTAGGGTGAGAGATGAGGTGTCACTAGTTCATGGGACTTTGTGTGGGTGTAAGATAGAAAAAGCAATAATTATAGGGTGGGTATAAAATTTAGATAGTTTCATGGGATAGTGTGAAAATGGAGCCACTGTAAGATAAGAATAAAGGGATATGGTTGAGTTAGAGGTGTTGTTGACCAGAAAGATTTACTGTTACACTGTAATAGGATTAATTACTTTTCTCAAGAAATTTGGGAATGCAAGTAACATGAAAGTTGGATTGTTAATGATTTGCCAAAGGTCCTGTAAGAAACCTCAAAATTTACTGTCTGTACCTGTACTATAGAAATATATATTATTATACAACAATACTGTATATTGCACAGGTGACATGATGAAGATTACCGGCACTATGAATTGTGTATTAATTATTTTACCAAACTTCAGGATCAGTGGTGGCAAGGCAGTACGGAGTGTGATGAAGGAACCAACATGAACAACACAACACTTCGACGTAAACTTCTCTTCAGTCATGATGAACTCCTCAATGCCACACCGTAAGAGATGTTCCTTATGGTAAACACTCATCACTAGGAGGCTTGAAGCTAGTGCTGGGTTGTTTACCTAGGTTAACTCTTGAATTAGTATGTTTATTTTGGGGATTGAGTACGTGTATTTATAGGGTGGTCCAATTAAAGTGAACCAGTTTTAGATTGGCGACACTGGGTATGGGTTTGAGTTGGAGGAGGAAGCAGGGTGGCAGGTGGTGGCGTGTGGCCTTGGATTCAGTGCACTATGGATCGTTGGCCGGTGCAGCAGATATTGATGACTTGAAGGCCAGAATTTGCCAGGAGGTTGATGCCATTTCTCCAGATGTGTTTCATTGAGTCATGCACAACTTTTGCTATGAGGGGTGCACATTTGGATGACATAAGTTTCAAACATTAATAACTATTGTTTCCAAAGGTTTTCAGAAACTCGTAAACCGCTTAAATACAGATTTTGTCCATTTCATGAATTTTGATTTCATTTTCAACAAGGTTCACTTTAATTAGACCACCTTGTACATCTAGTTGATGGATAAGTCCCCTCATGATTGGGTCCAGGGTGATTTTGTTTTGTTTTTTCTACCCTGCATGTGTAGCAGACCAGTAGGACAGCAGTTATATTGTCACATCTGGTTGCTGTTCAGTTCACTTTTTGCTTCAATACTTGAAAACTTTGGGTGACTTACTGTAGTTGAATTACATTGTATTAAAACACGATAACACTGTATATTGCAGGACCAGGACCTTAAGTATGCACGTGCAGGGTAGAGAAAACATATTGTTATGAAATAGTTTTAGCCATTAGTGTAATCCAATCCACCCTACAGCTCAGGGACTCCACTCCCACCAATTTCTTTGTTATTCCCTCCATATGATAGTAATGACAAGTTAGAAAAAATCAAGGTCATATAGACTTCTAAAATGGGGAATATATATCAGCACATTGCATATAATTAAAAAATTATTCAATGCTTGAAAAACCTTGGGGTGGCTCTCTGACTAAAGGAAATTTGATTATAAAATAATATTGATATAAATTCCATAAATTTGTTCAATTATGTTTGTTCCAAGCAGTAATAGTCCACCAGTTACCACCTCATGTTCCAGGCATGGGTGTTGGGTATTCCACCTGGTAGCATTTACTGCATGTAACTAGTTGTGGAATGTTAGGTAATGGCCAGTGTTCCCTCCAGATGGCACCCTGTAATCTCTGTTTGTAGTTGTTTCAGAGTACTGAATGTTCACACAAACACTATATGGCTTTGTCATTTATTTACCAAAATATGTGTGCACACCTTATAGTTATTAATAACAAGTTAACCAACATTAAGCAACAGTCCTCTTATGAGAGAATGTAAGAGGTAATTTACAGAGCTGCTTTAACACGTCTGTTGTGTGTGAGAGAGAGAGAGGGGTTAAGTTCACTTAGGACTGGGCACTTGGTGATGACCTATTCAAGTCAGAGGGGCATGGAGGACATGGGAATGTCATCAGCACGTGAGAAGGAAGTGATAAGCTATGCTTAGTTGCTGTTTATCTAGTTAATTTGAGTAGTGTAATTTATACAAATGATACAAGTACCATATATTACTGTGGATTAGGCGACCTTCTGATAAGACGAGGCCCAAATTTCAGTCTAAATTTCATGGATTTAGCTCATATCCGTGGTATAAGACGACTCCTCAAACTACTGTACCAAAACCACCTGTGGTAAAGTTTTTACTCAAGGCCCACCAAACCACCAATAAGGTATTAATACTTAGATTGTTTAATGTATTACCAGTACAGTAGACCCTTGCAATTCGCGATTTCGACAATTTGTGGTAAGCAGATGGCGGCTATGGTGGCTAGCTTGCGAGCCTTTTCTCGCAGTGTGACGAATCACCCCACATGCCCACAGCATATCATCTCCCTCTTATGCGTTCAACCCTTGCCTGTGACCCAGCATCTTGTGTTGTACTCTCAAAACTTTAGTGTTTCTGTGTGAAAATGGCCCCTAAAAGACTGCCTAGTGTTAGAGCTCGTGGGGATGGGTGCTGCTGCAGTTGGTCGGTTGTTTGGTGTGAACAAATCCACAGTGAGGTTTATAAAGAAGAATGAACAAACGATTCGTGATTCTGTTCAAGCAAGTGCTTCTGCAAGTGCTTAAGTGGCTCAGGTTCTTCGTGACAAGAACATAGTAAAAACCGAAAAAGCATTGAATATTTGGATTGAGGACCAGCACTGCAAAAATGTTTCTCATCTACAGCAACGTGATTCCCATTTTTACGGGTCAACAGGTGTTGAAGGGGCAAGTACGGCGACTGAACCAACTTTTAGTGCCTGTAAAGTCTGGTTCAAGAATTTTAAGAAAAGTTTCTCTCTCCATAATGTGAAGCTGACTGGGGAGGGCACATCAGCTGACCACACAGCCACAGATGCATATTCTGCCAAGTTAAAGAAAATAATAGAAGAGAAAGACTATAGACCAGAGCAAGTGTTTAATGCTGATGAATCCAGTGTATACTGGAAAAAGATGCCTGATAGAACATACATAAACAAGCAGGAGAGGCGTGCCCCTGAGTTCAAGGCAGCCAAGGACAGAGTGACGCTCATCTTCTGTAGCAGTGTAGCTGGCCCCACGATCAAACCTGGCTTGCTTTACCGCTCAGCAAACCCTAGGGCTTTTAAGGGTAAAAACAAGAACCTTTTGCCAGTTTTTGGGGCAGTCAAACAAAAAGGCTTGGGTAACTGTGCAAGCATTCCTGGATTGGTTTCATAAATGCCTCGTCCCGGAAGTGGAAAAGTACCTCGCTTCCAAGAAGATGGAATTCAAGGTGCTATTATTGATAGATAATGCACCAGGCCACCCAGAGAGTTTACAGTTTAGTCATCCAGGTGTAGAGGTGATGATCCTACCCCCTAACACCACATCTCTTATTCAGCCTCTCGATCAAGGCATATTACACCCAACACTCTTTTGGTCGTATCCGTAGTGCCATGGACGCAGACCCTGACCTTGATGTTAGCAAGTGTTGGAAGGGGTACAGCATTGTGGACTGCATTACCAACATCAGTGAAGCATTCAATGAACTCAAACCAGAGACTATGCTTGTTGGCGAACCTTATGGCCCGAGTGTTGCACGTCAGTTGGGTGGTGAGGGGTTTTTGGACATGGCTGCTGAAGACGTGGAAGAGCTGAATGATGGGCATGGAGAGGAACTGACGGAAGAGGATTTGGAAGAGTTGGTAGAAAGTGCCGAGGAAGATGAAGAAGAAGAAATTATGGAATTGCAACAAGAAGGATGGGGCTTGAACAATTTTGGTGAACTGTTTCGACATGTGATGATGGTAAATGATTTCATTGTTGACCATAACCCTTCCATGGAACGGAGCCTTAAGATGGTCCGGGGAATCAACCAGATATTGTTTCCCTACCAGGAAAGGTTTAAAGAAGTCAAAGCAAAGAAGAAACTACCACCAATCATGATGTTTTTCAAGAAAGAACCAGCCACTTGCCCAGCTGATTTGTCTCCCTCCCTTACTCGCTCAGCTGCTACCGCCGCCGCTCCACCCTCCTCCTCCCATCCACCCACCACCTCACCACCCAAAGCCAGAATTCTCCGGAAAATTCCAGGTTTGGGAACAATTTTGCGAGGGACACATTTTCTGGCAAATTAAAATAAATTTTTCTTGGTACAGTACCTGGAAAATTCCAGGGATGGAGGATTTTTTTTTCTGGGTTTGAGAGATAAAAATCAGGTGCATTTTCTAGAAATTCTGAGAAACAATTTGCAGTACAATACCTGGAAAAATCCGGTGATGGGGTGATTTTTTTCAAACTTTGAGAGATGAAATACTGTACTGTATCATTCTGGAAAATTCCAAGAAAATTCCAGTACCCAGAAAAATTCAGGGGATGGTGGATTTTTTTCCTTATTTGAGATTTGATGTAATGCACAATTTCTAGAACTTCCTAGAAAATTTTGCCGGTACCCAGAAAATTCTTGTTACCCGGAAATCTCTTTTGCCCGGAAGCGCTCTGCACCAATTGTTCCGGCTAACAGAGATATCACATACACTGTATATGAATTTTAGTGAGAAATAAAAATTTTAAACACTACAACACTGTTTCAAGATTGACGATCCCAGCTGCCTTTGCTGACCCACATCATTAAGGTGATTTGTACAGAATTTTAAGGTCACTTTTAGTATTTTGAATTTTGTACAGTACTTGTACATGTATTTAGCCTATAAGACGACCCCTGGTTTTTTTTTTGGGGGGGGGGGTTGATGATTTAAGTGTCGTCTTATCCGCCGAAATATACTTTTATATAAGTACTGCTATCTATGTGTTGACAGAGGCTATTACACGTTGTATTAAGACACAATCAGAAATTAGTTCCAGTCTCTGTCAAAGTTGGGTTTACAACCTAGGACTCAGGGTTTTTAAGTCACTCAGTTTTGAGTTTGAATTGATGATCCACACTTAACGTATCAAAATTGTTTCTTCTCCCTAAGGTTGTGCAGCCCTCGAGGTGTGGATGCTTCAGGGAGTGGGAGCCCACCCTCTTCTCCTGTGGCTCCTTTACCCATGCATAAAGATGATGAAAGTCCTGAGGGAGTGGATGAGGAGGATGACAAAGGCCTCATGTGGTGTACTGCTGTTGTTACTCCTACATCTATAGGGAGTGTGAAAGAGGATCTTCAACTGGCCCGACATCCTCCGCCATCTCCACCATCACCCATAAAGTGTGTGAATCCTCCCTCTCTCCCCCAGCAGCCTAATTCATCCTTCATTCTTGGATTTTCCCCAAATGATTATGTTAATGCTGCTTTGCCTCTATTATCACCAAGTATCTCACCTATTGAAGGCCACTTAAGTACAATGGTCTCAAAAGAGCCAAGATTATTTTCATCTCCTGGTGTGTCACCCATCCATATCCAACAACACAATAATGATTCAAACTCTGAAAGTGGATACTCACCTACCACTCCATATCTTAACCTAATTCCTCATAACCTTTGCCAGCCTAGAGTTCAAATATCACCCGGCCTATCCCCTATACATTTACCCACACACTCTCATAATTTGGTACCTATAAATGATGCCAGACTACAAGAGGACCTACAGATGTCTCCAAGGACCAGCCACCACAGGTCTCAACATTTGTCTCATCAACATTGTTCACCGAACAAACTTCAAACGCAAAACACAGTGATACCAGAGTGTCAGAACAATAAAGAGACCAGCATATTACAGTCACCAAATGGAAAATGTGATACTGTAGAAAACTGTGCAGCTAAAGGACATCAGAAAATGGAGAATGTTTTGAATTCGACCCAAGGATTCGTCACTTGTGAACATAATGAGTCACAACATCAGGGAACCCCAGGAAAGACTTCTTCAATGACAGAACTCAGAACCTCCAGTAACTCTGTGAGTACTACATTTTTATTTTTTTCATAGCAATATTGACTCAAAATTGTGTACAGTATATGTTTATTGCATGTGGTTTATGTATGTGTATACTACTGTATATGTATCCTCACTGCATAAGAACCTAAGCAGAAACTCTTCAAATACTCTGGTCCTTGCACTATCCTCTCATTTTTACCATGTGAGGTGAGGAAAATCAGTCTGGAGCCATTATGTGAGTGTGACTAGTTTTGTGAAAAACATTCTGAATAACCTCCTAACCTGGCAGGGAACTCTGATCAAAAATGGGTTTTACAGATAAGAATATAAAATGTTCCCCTTGGCCCATATCACCCCATGCAAATTATCAATTTACTGTACTTATCACTCATATTTCCAGGGTCATTTCTCATCTAGTCCCATACGAAGTGTTCATCGAAGTCCCTTAGAAATGGATTCTCCAAACAGAAGGTTCTCCGACTCTCCTCCCCTCTCCCCCATCCTGTATCATTCGTTGATGTTCCAAGCACAGCATGACCAACAGAAGAGTCCTCCAAAGTTTTTGCAGGATCAGATGAAGTCAAACCAACTTAGTCTTTCACAGGCCACATGTTTAAATGATGATAATGCAGGTTAGTTTCTGTGTTTGAAATGATTATAACAAGTTCTGATATGGCTAGCGCATCATGATATGATAATACTAGAAAGTTTCCCAAAATTTTGTTTAGCACTGGTGATGCTAAAGAGATTTGTTTAAATTATGATTTTCAGTAAAAAGGGAATAAGTAGTGAAACATTTCTAGTGTGCACAAGCTGTTGGGTTGACCAACCATATACAGTACAGTATTTGCTGATCAGGTTGAAACAGTCTTTGTTTTGTTTCCTAAATAAACTATCTTCATGCCAGGGAGAAGCTGTATTGATGAAGTAATGATGGAAGATGGCCAGAGTGATACAACATCAAGTACCAGATATCCCACCCCCATCATCCTTAGCAGTATTCCTACCACTGTCATGCTCTTACGCTCATCATCTGTCTGTGATATGGAGACTGATTATCAGCCTTCTCTTGAAGTTAGTTCCATTTTCAGTTACACATTTGTAAATCATTATTCAGGCAATTTAAAGCATTTTGACTTGCATTATCTTTTCAAATGCAATTGTTATACTGTACAGGTATAAGATTTTTTGATAATGCTGTCTGAAAATAATAACTACAGTGGGGTATGCTATAACGAACGGATCCTACTACGAATATTCCTATAACGAACGGTTTTACCTATAAAATTGAGAATGCTATAACGAACGAAACTCCTACAACGAACATTGTTTAATTTTTTTTTTTCTAATTTATTGTTTTTTTATTACAAATATTAATGATATTCTTTATTTCAGGGGTTTAGATGCATATTTATGCACTTTTTACAATTTTTACAATTTTATATTATATTTTTCAGTGTTAAGTGGTTGTATTTGGGGGCCTGGAACGGATTAATCCTATAACGAACGAATGCTATAACGAACAAGGTTCTAGAACCAATTAGATTCGTTATAGCATACCCCACTGTATATATTCAAAGAAATTTTTCTGGTTGTGGTTTTAAATCAGTAATTTTGATAGCTATTAATAGTGATAAACTTTTCTCTAATACAGATTAATGGAAATGATGACAGTCCATCACAGGATACAGGATATCAGACGGGTAGCCTTCACACCACCAACTTCAGCATTACTGCGTATAGCCAAGAGAGTAACTTTCCTTCCAGCACAGTGCTACCACATCATAAAGAACAACATAGTAGATTTGTAAATAGTCCTTATGTCCACAATCACAACAGCATCACAAAGGCTGTTAAAAGTGAAAACAATGTTGCTTGGGAAAAGGACACACCAGAGTGAAGAGAACACTGCATTTTTATTGATGTGCCACATTTAAAATGAAACATTCTCTTAGTCAAGCTTATTGCATGGCTGCACCCCCACATAGCAAATTCCAGTCATTTACCAAAATGAAGGGAGAATAAAAATTTCAACTTCATTTTGTTATCATAAGCTGTAGGTGTACGAAGCAGCAAGTAATTACAGGTAAGAAAGATGTGGTACAGTAGAGTGAAGAAGAGTAAGGTTAGAGACATCACCACCAGCACTCTGGTGTCATTTGAAGGAAATAATAAATTCAATGTTAAGTTGTGTATACTATAGTGTGAGATACTCTTAGTCCTTCAAAGTGCAATAAAATACTGAATGAATGTCTTCAAAATATGCTCAACTTACTCTTATAAATGTCAACAGTATTATTAGTAAAATTAATACACCTGATGAAATACTGTACATGTACAGTATAATATTACAGATACATGTATAAGCAAATTGTTGTGGTCCAATGGGGTTAGTTATTTGACACTGATCATGATTTTCACTTGATCGTTTGTATATTAAGTCATGTCTTAGGATTTTAGTGTGAATAATAAACAACACTTTATCTTTGCTTCACACCAGTTACTAGACTAGAATACAGTACTGTATGACTATACAAACCAGGTGAACATAAGTTCATTGTGATGTTAAAACCAATCCACCATGTTGTGGGTCATTATAGTATACTGTACATGTATTATAGTATAGCTGTTGTTTTTTAATAATGATTTCCTTTTAATTTTTACTTGAGTGATTTCCCAAGAAAATCAGTCATATAGTACAAGGAAGTATATTGTAATAAGAATTAATGTACTGTATTGGAACCAAAGGAAGAGAACAAATTTACTTCAAGGAAGTTTTTTATTGATAAATTTTAAATATATTTTCTTTTAATGTCTGTCCTTTAACCCTTAAAGCCCGGGTGACGTGCCTCAACGTTCTTAATTTTTGCGGCATATTATGAATGTCCAGGAGGTGTGAAATATTTTGTGTGGGATATTTATTTACTTGGCAACTGAACTCACACATAATCTTTGTCTCAAGTCTACTGGTCTAGTTAGCTATCACCTATCATGATGGGTGCACGTTCTTCAACGTTTCGTGACCCGCCTCGCCTCTACACCCTCGACAGTAGTACTGTTCATCAAGAGTTGCTTGATTTGAGTGTCATTCATATAGTATCGTGTGACGAAGACAATGATGGAGAGGAAACCGATCCAGATAATGTCAAGTTTGTTGAGGCAGGCAGCGGTGTGGACAGTGATACAGACACTCCCTCCTCCCCACCCTGCCAGCCACCCCTTCACCGAGGTCATGGTGGATTTAGAGGACCATGTGTATGCCAGCCATAACAGTATGCTTGGAGTGGCTGCATTAATTTTATGCCTGATATAACAATTTTTGGCTGGATTTTTTTTTTTTCTCTCCAATACACCCACATGGGGGCCTTGTAGGCTCTTACGTTGCCCGGGGCATAAGGGTTAATTTATGTTCACATATACTAATAAGTGTATTTCTGAAGCATGGATGAGTAGTGAGGCTGTAATCAGCCCATTTAGAAAAGGTTGCATGTACAGTACCACCGAAGGTGGAGAATAGCGTCTTAACTAATTTTGGTGTAGCTGTTTTTCTCGTTTAACATGTGAATTAGACAACTTTTTAGTGATATATATTCTGTGTAGATACAGTATTTAATGAATTTTGTATCATAGCTTCAATTAAAATACTGTACAGTATCTTAAATGACAGTATTATCATGGTGTCTGGAAGCTTTTATCATGGATAAACCCCCCTACATGATCATGTTTTTCACTTTTACTTTTAAATGATATGCTTTCAAATAACACCAGTATTGAGTCTAAATTTCTAAAGCTGAAGAGTACTGTATAGGTAGCATATAGAAAACTGCCAGAGTATCTTACAGTACCGCATCTTTCCATCAAAGAGCACAACTGACAAACAATATCTGAACTTAGAGGAAGTTGTACAAATTGGTGACTGATGAATTGTATTTTATTTATTGTTTTCCATTTAAAGTATGGTTTTTTTTTAGGAAAACACATTAGTATTCTTGTTTAAATTTGGTGTATGGTATGTACTTGTAAATTGAGGCATTCTAATAAGTTATATATTTCACTTTGAGCATCAGTTTGCCATCTGGTACACTTAATCAGTCAATATTATTGTGTTAATGCGGTCTTTACCCAAAATACATAAATATTCAAGATCTGTTTATCTAATATTTAACTTCCACGTGATATGTTTCTCATGTACGATCACTAGTGTTTTGTATATAACACAGTAGTTAATTTATTTTTAAAAAGTAACATATGTGTTTGGGAAGTATTGTACAGAGTGTATCATACTACAAATAGCCAATATCGGGTACTCACATGTAATAGGTGGTCAGTGCATGGCATCCTCCTAATATACAAACTTTGGTTCCTCCGCGTGTGTTTCGCTCACAGAGCTTCGGTAGGCTACAGTATATACCTTCTCACTCTTACAGTAGTAATTTATATGAACATTTGCACAGTTGTCTCAACACATATTCCCGTCAAGAAATCATATTTGCCAGTGGAATGACCTTTAGCTCTTATGAGTCAGCTTTATGAACATCTTTTATGGTAGACTGACAGAAAGAATTTTTCTCCAGCACTTCATTTCTGCTCACGTCACACGTTCTTCACTGCACCCTTGGCTTATGCCTGGCATACCTCCTCACATATAAAATTATTGACCCTTTTTTTTATTGAATTTAAAATAACTGTCTTTGCTACCCTTTTGTTTAGAGGATGGTGTCTGATCAAACTTAATAAGGTTGATGTGTCACAGGCATGCATTGAAGAATTTATGGCTGTTCATGTAAGATGTGTTGAATAAATAATTGTGTTCAATGAATCCATTTATAGCTGTGCCAACTTCACATGGGAAACTATACAGTATGTAGAGATTCATTCAGAGTTTTACACAAGTTAAACTTACAATAGGGGCATGAAGCATAAAGAGCAGCAGCCATTTCATGATCTAGTTTGAATTTGGCAGTTTATGGCTATTTGGAGTTGTATACATTCTGACATCACCACTCTGTTTATGTCAAATTAGTGGTGAAAATCCCATCGACATTAGGCCAAAATGTTTGTCCAATGATTTTATGCATGCAAGTATTGATGACAATGCATGAGATTTAACAACTGTGATGTGCTCATGGAATATTATTGTGTGTGTGTGTCTTTCTTTCATACTTAGTATAAGTAGGAAGTATTATAGGAACATGATGCACATTAAAACCTTTTCTCTCTGATTTAGATTTATTATTGGCTATTTTATTTGTGATCCCAGAATTTCTATCCCCCAATTCTAGTGTACATGTATCCCTAATTCCATCCTTCCATCCCCTTTGTCTTCCTCTCTCCCTCCTGTCATTCACCACAAAATTAAACACTTTTTTCACTCATATCTTCTTTTATATGTTTCTTCTTTTTCTGTATCCTATTCCCACCACTGCCAATTTCAAACACATTATAGATTGTATGTAATGTACTACTTCCTCTTTCAACCCGAGTCCCTGCCTCACACACACACACACACACACACACACACACACACACACTAGTGGCCCAACTATTCCCTGTACACATCCCCATCTTTCCATCTCTGGATATAGTTCTCTGCATATATTTATCAGTACAGCTTTTTTTTTTCCTCCGTTTCTTGACATACACTTCCACACTGAAACACTTCATTCCCCACTTCTCTCTATTCAAGCTAACATAACATTTTGCATTTCCCTTTTCTGCATATTTTCTTGGCTACACACTCTAACGTCAGTCACTCGCATTTGTATTTTTTTTTTCTGAGTTGTCCAAAAGTTAAATTTGTATTTACATTATTATTTACCATACTTGCCATTCTTCTTCCTTTCATCTTTCTTTATACCTCATCCTTGAAAATAAAGAACAACCATGGCAACATCACATATCCCTGCTCTGTAGTCCTACCTTCACTGAGAACAAGTTTCCCGCATCCTGACAGACTTATATGCTTTAATCTCCCTGTAAAATCATGGGAATCATTTCAGTTTTTCTATGTACCCCATACATTAAACAAAAAGATATCTCTCTCCTCTCTCACAAACCTTTCACTTATGTTCTTTAGTGGAAATACTTCATCTCTCAATTTTCTGCTTTTCAGATCTCCAAACTGCTCAACTTATGTTTTCTATGTTTTTGCTACAATTCTCCTCATAAAAACTACTTCTGTATTCACTTTCCTTGATAATACTTAGCAGAATGATTCCTCAATAATTGTTGTATTATTTTTTTATCAACTTCCCTCTTTATTGGAGAACGATATATGGTATGCTATGTATCACTCCTTTGGTAATCTTTCTCTTGTTATTATATTTTATCCATTTTAGTGCTTTTACATCTCCCATCTTTTAACATTTCAATGGTGATGCTATCTTTATTGTGCTATGTTTAAATTTTTTTTGTATACAGTAGCATTTTATACATTTATTTCTTGTTCAGGACTTTATTCGTCCATATTGTTTTAGGATCATTTTATAGTCCACAGACTATTTCCACCTGTATAGTGGGAGCCATCTTACCTTACATTTTAAACTCATAAATCTATTCCTGGTCATCTTCATATGTTATTCCCTTCATTTCTTTCAATACCTTTCCATTTCATCTGAAATTATTGACATCTATAAACAAATTCTCTGTTGAAAGTTACTTCATTAAACATACACATAGTTCTGTGTGCCTTCTCTCACATATACACACAAACACAGAGACAGAGTGACTACATACAATTTGCAGGACTTGCACTGCTCTCCCATTCCTCCTGCTCATATTAACACCATCATCATCCATCCACAATTGTTCTGTACTGTGCCATGAGACTATGAGGTTTGGAGTTCACATAGTGTAGGTGCACTGACTGCCAGTAAATTTCACGTACTGTAATACAGAGTCAACTGAAACTCATTTTCTTAAAACTTTTTTTTTCATTTGTAATAATAATCTCTGATCCAAGTTGCACAAGGGGTTATAAAAAATTTATGTGTACAATACTATACTTGTAGTATCTGTATAAAAATGTGTGTACAGTACTATATTTATTAACACTGTTCAGAACCAGATGACACAGGAACACGTTTTCCTATTCTTTTTCTAACTTTCTTTTAACCTTAAATTGTGTGTTAATGCAAATACTTAGTTCATATTAGTTTTTAATGTCCACTATCTCTTCAGAAAAGTTGAATTATTAGAATTTTTTTTTTTTTTGTAACTTGTCTACTTGTCTTGATCAGCAATTGAAAGGCCTCATGCTGAGTCTCCTAACATTACTTCAGAGTGAGTGTCTACTGACCCATTTCCTGGTTTATAATATTACAGACTAGCTTAAAGTGCCAGTACTGTAAACCAGTTTTTACTTGCACAATAGTAAACTCAAGTGTACAGGGACTGTAAATTCTTTTGCTTTTTTATATTTATTTTTAAAGGTGTTATCACATACACAAAATATATCTATTTTAGACTATTTATATTGTTATAAACAAGACATTAGTTTGTAAGGTTGAAAAATGTACATGATATTTTTCCAACTGTATTAATGTTTGAATGTTAAAGTATTTACAGATTAAAAATGAGGCCATAAAGGTTAATCAAGCCTAAATAATTATTTTATGGGATTTATGACTTTATTTGATTACATGCTCAGGAATCTGATTGTGTGGTGGTTCTTGTTATACTCTGTATGAAAAATATATTTTTCATTTATAATATACAGTATACTGTACAGTACAATACTACAGTAATTTCTTGACTTAACGTAAAAGTATTCAGGAGGTGTTGAGAATTTAGATAACTGCCATAAGGAATGAA